GTGCAAGTATTCCTTAGGATTTGAAATGCACTTTAAATCGTCAACATAACTTGTTGTCGTTGTTGTTGATATTTTTGTAAATGTAGTTGTTGCTGCTGTTGATGTAACTGCTGAAAGGTTGGTTGTTGTAGTTTGTTCGTCTCCCTTAATGTCGTTGTTGGCGATAAAAGTATTCTTGAGGCTGGCTATACCCGCATCGCCATTGTTATCATTATTGTTATAGTTGTGGTTGTTGATGACATCAATATTCTCATTGATGTCATTGATGATGTCATTAATGTGTTTATCGCTGTCGACGATGACGTCATCGTTGTTCGTGATGACGTCACCATTCTCGTCGCCGGCGATTTCGAAGTTGTTCGTGAAGCAGTGTTCGTTTAGCTCAGCGTCGCTGCAGTTCAAGATTTTGTCGACGAGGCTACTAAATTCATCGCTATTATTATTCTTATTATTATTACAATTATTATTCTTATCATTATTATTATTGTTGTTATTGTTGTTGTTGTTGTTGTTGTCGTTAGTAGTCACGTGATCTACGACGACGTCATAGTCGACGGTCTTAGTGATGATCTTGTGATCGAGGCAGCCGCAGACGTTGGGATATTTTTTCAGAACGTCAGCGTCATCATTATTATTATCATTATTATTTTTATTATTATTATTATTGTTATTATTGTTGTTGTTGTTATTATTATTATTATTATTATTATTATTATTGGTGTTGTTATTATTTTTAATATTATTACCTTCAAAATTTTCCATAATTATTTTGTCGATTTTTAACTTTTCAAAATTTTCCAACTCCATTTTAATTACAGTTTCTCTGAGGTCATCATCGCCGCCAGTTTTTACATCGTCAGTAGCCGCTACAACAACGTTAACACAAGTTTGTTGTTGTTGTTGTTGTTGATGTTGTTGTTGGCATTGTGGTTGGTGTTGTTGTTGGCATTGTTGTTGTTGGCATTGTTGCTGTTGGCATTGTTGTTGTTGGCATTGTTGTTGTTGGCATTGTTGTTGTTGGCTTTGCTGTTGTTGTGACTGTTGTTCAATCAAAGACAAAATACTCTTACTTGCCACAATAGCTGTCGTAGTTGAAACCTGTTCATAACAGGCAGCTGTTGATGATGTTGTTGATGTCACTGATGCCCTTACTTTTGTTGTTGTGGTTGTCGCAGTTGTGGTTGTTGAAGTTGTGGTTGTTGCAATTGTGGTTGTTGAAGTTGCGGTTGTTGAAGTTGCGGTTGTTGAAGTTGCGGTTGTTGTAGTTGTTGTTGTTGCAGTTGCCGTTGTTGCTGTCGTTGGTGCGAGGCAGTTGCAAGAACTAAATAGTTTGTGTCGTTGGTGATGTTGCCGATATTGTTGTTGCTGATGTTTCAAGTTATAAGCGGAGACTGATTTTGTAATGTAGAAATGTTTGTTAATGTAATTGTTGTTGTTGTTGTTGTTGTTGATTATAACGATGTTGTTGTTGGTGGTGGTGGTGAGATTGTTGTTTGAAGCAGTAGTAGATAATTGTTGTGACGGCTTGCAGTGATGTTGTTGTTGCTGCTGCTGCTGTTGTTGCTGCTCACATAGAAGTTGTGGTTGTTGTTGTTGATGTTGTGGTTGTGGTTGGCAGCGTTTTTGTGGTAGCGGTGGTAATGGTGGTGGAGGAGGTGGTGGTGGTATAAGTGGTTTGCACTGCTCTTGTTGCGGTTCTTCTTTTTGTTGTTGTTCCTGACATTGTTGTTGTTCCGCTTGCTTTTGTTGATCTGTTTGTCGTTGTCGCTTCTTTCGTTCACTTTTCGTCAGCTTCATCCACACGTCGGCAAACTTTCGAGTCAATTTGAAAGATGAAAATGATTTATTCGGTGCCATTTTGTTGTTGTTGTTATTATTTTCATTGAAGTCATTATTATTGTTGTTGTTTTCACTGATATTTTTTTCTTTACATTCAGGCAGCTGTTGTTGTGACGTGCCTTCTTGTAAATGTGGTTGTTGTTGTTGTTGATGATGTTGTTGTTGTTGCTGTTGTTGTCTTTCGCAATCTGATATCTCCATTTTCAGATCAGTCTTCAAATAGACATTTTCCAACTCTTCCTTCAGCAGTAGCATGCGACGTCTCATCTCCATCTTTTCCAAATGTTTCAACTTCCCGAAATCTTTTTGTTCGTTTAGCTGCGTAGTTGGTGGCGTTGTTGCGCCGATTGGAGGCTGTTGTTGCTGTTGTTGTTGCTGCTGTGGTTGTTGTTGGCATTGTTGTTGTTGTTGTTGTGGTTCCAGGGACAATTTTTCTTGTTCAAGTATGCAAAATGCTTGATATAACTTCTCCTTCGTGAAATGAGATACCTCAAACGAAAGCTTCTCGTCACCTTCATCGACATCTCCTTCTTTTTTGTAGCATTTAGACGTCTTATTTTCTAAAACAACCGCATCAGTTTTCATCTTTTTCACCATCATCTCCTCATCACTCTCACCAGCCTGCAAAACAACGCTCTTACTCTGTGGCATCATTTTATCACTTGCAGCTGCTGAATCGTCATTTTTTTCATCATCATTTATCACCTTCATCATTTCGTCATTCTCTCTCTTTTTCATCATCTGATCATTTGCAGCGGCAGCAGCATTATCATCTTCTTCCTTCTTCTCCTTCATCATCATTTCATCATCTGCAGCCCCAAGATCCTTTCTCCCTTTCAACGTCATCATCTCATTATTTGTAACCAGAACAATCTCCTCATTCAAGATGTAAGATTCGTCACAGGTGGCCCATGATATTGTCGATAAACTCTCCTTTCTAGCATCTCTCTTCTTTTGCTGTTGATGTTTTTGATGTTGTTGTTGATGTTGTTGTTGTGGCTCTGGTGGTAGCGGCGCCGGCTTCTTGTAGCAGCGAATCGGTCTATGAAAATCGTAATCGTAGTAGCTTCCGACTAAATCGTCATCAAGCAAATTCTTTTTCTTATTATTATTATTATTATAATTATTATTATTATTAGTGTTGTTGTTGTTGTTGTTTGTGCTTTTTTTGTTTTCCTCATCGCCGTCTTCTTTCACGCATTCGCAAATTTTGACGATGACGTCATTGTTTGTTGTAATTGTTGCTGTCGCTAGGTTACGTTTATGTCGCTGCTGTTGCTGCTGCAGCTGCGGCTGTTTGGTTTTAGTACCGCAGAATAATCTTCCACTGTGAATATTGATGTCATTGTTGATGACGTCAGCATTGTTGACGTTGTTGTTGTCTTTGTTGTTAATGATGTTGTCATCTTGGCAGTTGTTGTCAATGTTCATCTTGTTGTTGTTGTTGTCGTCGTTGTTTGGTAGCAGAGAAGTACATTCGCAAACCTTAAGATGTTGTTGTGGCTGATGTTGCAGTTGATGTTGCTGTTGCAGATGTCGTTGATGCTGCAGTTGATGTTGTTGTTGATGCTGTTGATTCAAGTTTTCGCAAAGATGCTGCTGATATTGTCTGAATGAACTTTTCCTAGTAGGGTGTAGCTTTTTATATCCAGTACACACAACAGGAGTAGACGTTAGTGACGTCATTTCAGCAGCAGCAGCATCTTCCTTCTCGTTCCCCTCCTCCTCGTCTTTCTTATTATTATTCATATTATTAATTACGTCATTATCATTTTTATTATCATCACAACAAATAATCTGTTGTTGTTGCTGTTGTTGGGCTGATTGCTGCAACAAACATTCGCTCTGTAGTTGTGTTAGCTGCTGCTGCGGTTGCTGCTGGTGTAGTTGTAGTAGCTGAAGTTGCTGCAATTGCTGTTGATGGTTGTAATGAATGGAGGCTTGGTAGTGCGAGCTCTTTGCAAGGATCCAATTCTCAACAAGAGGGTAACGCAACATATTATCATCATTATTGCTAATAACAACATTATTATTGTTGTTATTATTATTATTGTTATTACTATTATTATTATTTTTGTTGTTGTTGTTATTGGTGTTACTCTCAACATTCTCGTTAATGATACTGACATTGATAACCTCATTCAATTCAATATTATTATTGATATTATTTTTATTATTATCGATCTTATTATTATTATTATTATTAATATTATTATTATTCACATTATTATTCATTGCATTATCGTCGTTATCATCTTTCATCTGCACGCCCTGAAAATTTTCAAACGCCCCAAACAACTTCTCCCCGAGCCCCAGTTCAAAATCCAGAGGGTCCCGACTTATCTCGCCCCTGGTCCACGCTCGGAAAAATGGCGGAAATGACGTCATCCATGGCGGTCCGTTTTGCGGATAAGGTAGGTAACTGTACTGCGTTATCTAGGAGAGAAAAAAAAACATCATGGAACTGTAAATACTCCAACAACCACAACTTCCTCAACTAAAATTACTATTTCAACTACAACTACTTAAAATGTTACCACCACTACTTTTGCTACTACTACAACTGCTGCTACTGCTTCAACTACAATTACCACTCCGAATAATTAATACGGCGGCACGATGTTGCAGTGACTGGGTTCGAATGCAAAAGGATCTCAGCCTGTAGCACTCAATGTACGTGATGCATTGCTCACTCCGATACCTCTGAGACAAATAAAACAAAAAAAATTGTAAAAAAAATACTACAATTAACACTACTACTCCTACTACAACAACCGCTACTACTGCAACTACATCAACGACAAATACTCTTATTGCTACTTCTACTACTACAACAACCACATCAACTAGTACAGCGAGACAAATACCCTCAACAAACCTCTCCCTTATAAGGCACGACTTCATCTGAGTTGTACCCTCGTTTACGGGCAAAAGACTTGCCCAGGTTGAGGCAGACGGCCCTGAACAATTTGAAGAAAACCAACAGGAGGGCGGCCAGAAGAATGGAGGTCAGGCAGAGGATTATCGCTGTGCCTTGGCGAGAGAAAAATGGAAGGAATTTTTATTTTTACATTACGCATTTGGCCGCACGTAATATACGCATGTACTGCGCGTTTTGTTGGCACCTCTATAAAATTAATAAGAACTCTTTTATTCAAAGCCAGGGTGGTAAATAATTAAAACTATGAAATGGTAAAATAGTGAAATGTTTACGTCAAACCGCAATGTTCAATTCAAAATTAAAGTACAGAGAGGTGAAATATATCCGAATTTATATCATAAATTGTTTCTGTCGCAATAAATAATAATCACAATAATAATAATAACATGCTAAAAGATATATAATTATTGAGTAATTATATACAACAAATATTAATAAAATATATTTATCAATGTTAAACGAACCTGGCGAAACCATCCCTCTTAGTTTCTTTCTTCCTCAGAGATTAAATTGACGTTAAACTGACATAGCTGGCGAACATCGGGGCGTTGTAATTAAATAATATTATAAGTATAATAATTTACAATAAGTTATTATAATTAAATAATATTATAAGAATAATAATTTACAATAAATTATGAGAAGCTATAATGGATAAAGGAATAATTTTTTGGCGTCTGAGGATTTTTCATTTATCAACGTCACTTTACCTACTCTCTCAACCAACAAACGAATGGACGAATGACTATACGAATAAGTGTATTTATATTCTATTTATTTAACAATTTAATTACAACAATTACAACAAGTTTATAACATTTGTAAGCTAGTAACAAATAAATAACGTCATATCAACACTACAACATCCTACTACTAACACTACAATTCACTGAAACACAGCAATGGTACTATATAACAAAACTAAATAATTACTAATTAAAATATATATATATATATATATATATATATATAATTAAATTTAACATGTGTGCATTATAGCGATAAGGGTTTTTTCTAGCTTTTTTTTTAATTCAAGACCATTCCTAAGTTAATTTGAAACGCAGATTTAAAAAAAATGAACTGCAAGCTCCAGTCAAAAAAAACTTTTGTTTTCGTTACAAGACATTAGCATACACGGATAATATACAATTGTTTAAGAAGCTTCAGAAAAAAATTGACTTAATACTGATAAATATAACAACAATTAAAACGCATGACAGATTGTTTCGTGAGAGATATAGATAGATAGATGATAGATAGATAGATAGTTAGATAAATAGATAGATAGAGAGAGAGAGAGAGAAAGAAAGAAAGAGAAAAAGAAAGAAAAAGAGAGAATATGCAGAATAATAAAAAAACATGCTCATTAAAAAAATCGTCTTAAAACACACATAAAAATGACTCCTTGACTTTGCATTAAAAACGTTTCTAAGTTTAAATCAATACAAAAATAAAAGAGAGAAAGAGAAAGAGAGAGAGAAAAAGAGAGAGAGAGAGAGAGGAAGAAAGAGGAATTAGGATTATGCAGACTAAAATCATTTTGAAACATTATTCGTTAAACAATAAAAATGTAAGAGTTAAAATTGACTAGTACAACAAGTTATAAGTAATACTGTCCATTTGATAAATAATACAGTTGCTACAATGATAATTTTCACTATTATTTTCATCACATATTCAATCAATATTATCATACCTCCCATCATCATCATCGTCATCATCATCGGCATCAATATCATCACCATCATCAATATCATTATAATTATCCTCATCATCATCGTCGTCGTTATCATCATCGTCATCAGATTTTTCTGGAACTATCCAGGAAGTGTATGGCCTTATAGAAGATGACGATAGTGCCAATGAATGCACATACCAACAGGAGAACTTTCCATATGCATCCACTTTGGAGTATGCAGCATAGCATAGGGAACTGACTGTCGAACTGAGCCTGAATGAATGAATGAACGAACAAACGAATGAACGAATAAACAAATAAAAGAATGAATGAATACACAAGCAGACCAACGGACCCATCCACCACAGGTGGCAATCCAGAGACCCAGTCTGTTAACAACAATGTCGACGAGAATCCTCACCACCACCTCCTCGATGTCCTCAATGCTCTCATGGAGTTTGCAGAACTTGGCCACGTAGGCGCAGAAGGCATGGTACATCACTATCCTGTTCCAGGTTATGACGTTGTCGTTGAACATCTCGGAGGCCAGTTCGTTCAGTAGGATCTCCAGTTGTTCCATCGATTTGGCGTTCAACTGATGGTGGATGGATGGATGGAAAATGAGATAGCGGATGAATGAATGAGTGAATAAATGAGTGAATTAATTAATAAATGAGTGGATGAATGAATGATTGATGAGAAAAAATTTAAATAAATGAAAAATACAAAACAACAAACAAACAACGATCTGGGATGCCATATCATCCATCAGCTCTCCGCGATTTTTCGCCAAATCATTCACAAGGTTCCTCATCAGTCGAGTGGTCTTACTAGGGGGAGGGTAGGGCTGATAGGGCCCGCTATGGCAGACGTAAGTGACAATGTCATATGCAACTTCCGCACACTTGTTTCGAAATTCTTCCGTAATAAAACGATCGTTCAGGTAGAATAAGTCTCTGGCAGCTGCGTCGTCGCTGCTAGTCTGATGGCGTCGATGTCGACGTTGGTGGTTGGCGTGGTTTTGTCGCTGGTGGGTGCTACTACGATTTCGAGTTGTGCTGCTGCTGCTGTCACTATTATTCGTATTGTTGTTGTTATCACCGTTGTTATAAGCATTGTTGTTATTTATACTGTTAGTGGCGATAGTTGTAGTTGTGGCAACAGTAGTAGTAGTAGTAGTAGTAGTAGTAGTAGTAGTAGTAGTAGTAGTAGTAGTAGTAGTAGTAATGTCAGAAATGCTATCATCGTCGTCGTTGTAATTACCGCCAACTGCAACTACATCATCTTCTCGACCGCCAAGAAGTTTCTCATTTTCTTCACTGATGAAGATGTCACCCATCTTATATAAAATATAATATAACATAATGATTTAATTATAAAATAAATAACTATTTAATAATTTAATTAAATTTATTTCATGGAGACTTTATTGTTTATTCATTAAATTGTTTCTATAACTTAGGTTAACTTTTAAATTTCAATTTGCTATTTGAAATAATATATTAAAATTAAATATAATAGTCTGACACTGACTGAACCACTGGTGCTGCTAAAAGTACTAAGGTAATCAATGAAATGTTTAATTAATATTTCAATTTATTATTATATATATGAGATAAATAAAAAAGTAAAAATAAAACACTACAAACTAATTAATAACTTTCTGTATCAACTTCACTTTACTTAACTATTGCTTATTCTGAAATATTTAAATTTTAAATTAAAATTATGTCTTTTAAAATAATTTTTAAGAAGTGAATTAGGAAGTTTTTTAAAATTTCGCGTCTGATTTTTAAATACAATAAAATTATAATTTTTTAGACAAATCGCACAAATAAAAATTTTAAAAAATTTAAAATTTCATACCTTGAATTTTAATTAATTTAAAATCCAGAAATTTTGTTATTAAATTCACTTTTGTTTATGCAGGGTAATTTAAATAAATTCAGTGATGTGCCTGCATATTGTTAAATATTCCTCATTGATCCTGGAAATGCCCTGTAACATTAGAGCGTTAACTTGAAACTTAAAACAGATGAAGTTGCCACACTAGAATCACCATAGGTCGTCAGTTGAACAATTTAAGAAAAGAGACAATCCTATTAGAAGTTATGTTCAAGAAAATAACTCAAAAATATTCAAACTATAATCAAATATATATATATATATACACCATGGATACCAATACCGATGGATCAAAAATTAACAATTCAACGAGAGTCAATCATTTTAACGGCAGATGGGAATTTTGATTATTTGTGATTAGATTATTCAAATGTTTCCAGGTCTTTGATAAATTTTGAGCACTATAGTTCAATTTTCGTACTAAAAAATCATGATTTTTAGATAAGTTTGCCAAGTTTTATTCATTGATCATAAATTTTGATTTGTTTAATGCAATTTTAGACAATTTGAGAATACATGTGTGAATAAAATCATTTATGATTGACTAATCTTCAATAATCATAAATGGATTTTTGTGTGTATTCTTGTATGTGTGTTGGTGTTGTGTGATGGTTCCTCTCTCTCTCTTTCTCTCTTCTCTTTCTTTCTCCCTCTCTCTTTATTTCTGTGTATGTCTGTGTATGCCATTCTTTAATTTCATGTTACTCATGTGTTAGTAATTTGAAATTAAGACGTTATAACATCGAAAGTTTTTAGCAATACAATACGGTACCATACCATACCATACAATACATTACGGTACAATGCAATACAATACAATACAATACCATACAATAATGTACACAAAAATGAATGTACACTTGTCTATTTGGCTTTCATAGAATTAAATTCTGAAATTCCTAACATTCTAACCAATAACAGCTTAACAATATAGATTTAAATTTAGTTTATTAGTTTATTAATCATTTCCTCTACATACAAAGACACACATAGACGCACGCACACACACACACACACACACACACACGCACACACACACACTTATATACATACATATATACATATATATTTATGTATATATATATACATACATACATACCATGTGATAATAATAATAAAGATGACGACGACGACGATGATTCTTGTTATTGTGCAACAATCGTACAGGTATGCATTATTAAGATTTTATTTTTGTTTATTTCCTCAAATCACATTCTCTTGTTTCACCTGTATTATCAGTTTTAAAAGCGATACACGAAATACTATATTGTCTGTATCTATGTATGTTTGTATGTATGTTTGTATGTTTGTATGTATGTATGCATGTATGTTTGTATGTATGTATATATGTATGTATGTATGTATATATATATATGTATGTATGTATGTATGTATGTATGTATGTATGTATGTATGTATGTATGTATGTATGTATGTATGTATGTATGTATGTATGTATGTATGTATGTATGTATGTATGTATGTATGTATGTATGTATGTATGTACGTATGTGTGTATAATATGCGTGTGGAAATTTTAAAAATTATAGATTTATAGAATAAACATAGCAAAGCATTCGCTCGTCTATCGGTATTTTAGGTATATATATATATATATATATATATATATATATATATATATATATATATATATATATATATATATATATATATATATTATTCTTATTGTCATTGCTTAAGTTGTTGTTATTATTGTTTTATTATTATTATTATTATTAAACTAATTATCTACTCATTCATAATTTCGGATTTTAAAAAGTGTAGGATAATGATTTTCGAAAATCGTCTATCATATGTTTGTATGGGATATATAATACACATACGTAGAAATTTTTTAATCATGGTAGTTGAAACTTTGAAAGGATGACTAGAAACATCGCGAAACAGCAACAACAACAACAATAACATCAACAACAGCAACAACAGCAACAACAACAGCAACAACAACAGCAACAGCAACAACAACAGCAACAACAACATCAACAACTCGGACATCAACGTCATTTACATCAATAACAATGCCACCAAAATCGCCACCATTTCAGCCAATGACGTCAAACTTGACAACAACATCATCAACAACAACATCATCAACAACAACATCTTCAACATCATCAACAACAACATCTTCAACATCATCAACAACAACATCTTCAATTGGAAATACATCATTAGAAACATTAGAAACGCAGGCAACATCAACAACTGTGTTTGAATGGTCAACAACGAAAAAATTTTCAACAACAACATCAACATTGTTGCCAAAATTAGCTAACAAGTTAACAACAACAACGACAAAATCCAAATCATCAATTTTTACTATACAACTGAAATCCATAATTACGTTAATTACAATAATCTTGAATCACCCCAACACATTACTGTTGAATTGTCAAGAAAACCCGACAACAACAACAACAGCAGCAACAATAACAACAACAATACCGACATTGGTAATTGTCACATCCCTGAAACCGGTGACGGCCAGAATCGGATCGGATGTTTCGTTTACTTGTACCGTCGGTTTAAATTACGATGGCAATGATCTGGATATATACTGGAAATTTAGTAAGTAAGATGTAATTTTTATTACTGTCATTGTTGTTGTTATTATAACTATTATTATTATTAAAATTATTAATATTCTCATTATTATTATTATTAATGATATTCATTATTATTACTACTATTATTAACATATTAATTTAAATTAACCAAATTTTAATTTAATTCAACCCAGATTCACCGACTCGTAGCAGCTCACTTTATCTCTTCAGGTACGACCGCTACATGCAAGCGCCAGAAAATTACTGCAGCTGTAGTAGTAGCGGCAGCAGCAGCAGTAGTAGTGTCGCTTGTTGTAGCAAATTTCCAACTTCAAACACTCCAAACAACAACACATACAACAACACATACAACAACAACAACACATACAACAACAATAAATACAAAACCGTAATAGGGTACACTTTGTATATAACAAATGTATCAACGTATGATGATGGCGAAATCGTTTGTTCGCTTCAGAATACAAAAACTACTATGTCATCAGTCGCTGAATTGACTGTTATATGTTAGTTTTGATGTTGTTGTTGTTGCTGCTGCTGTTGTGGCTGTTGTTGTTGTTGCAGTTGTTGTTGTTGTTGTTGGTGGTGATGTTTTTGATGCTATTACTAAACAGCTCCTAAATATGTCATCTCATTATATGATATCGTCGTTGTCGTCATCATCACTATCATCATCATAATCACCATCATCACTATCATAATCACCATCATCATCACCATCATCATCATTACAGCACTTCCGTCAGCTCCCCAATTATCGTTAGTGAACTTTCCTCAAACGACGGCGGCCGAGGAGAACGACTGGCTTTCCATGAACTGCTCTTCCGGAAACGCCAATCCATACAGTGACGTCATCATCAGATGGTTCATTTCCGGTTTCGAGTTAGTTACGTCTGGAGGAAATGGTTTATCGCCCACTGCTTCTACTACTTCCGCTGCTACCTTCAGTAATAATGATGTTGGTAATAGTAGCGGTAGCGGTGGTAGTAATAGTAATAGTGGTAATAATAATAATAATAATAATAATAATAGCAGCAATGTATTATTTACTTCAACACCATCATCATCTTCATCATTTTCTCTACCACCTCCATCATCATCGTCGTCATCGTTGCCATCATCATCATCACCATTATCGTACGATTACAATTACAACGTTACGAAGACCGGCCCGTCGGTTAAATTCGGCGGTTTTTATTCGGTGCTAAACCTGAAATTGAATCGATATTCGTTCGGTTCGGATGTCTATTGCAGAATGGAACATCGCTACTTTGATCTGTTGGGTAGTGACAGTAGAAGGGTTGAGCTTATTTTCAAATGTGAGTGAAGCTATTTCGGCAATGACGACGATGGTGAATGTTGATATGTTAATGATGATGATGGTGATTGTTAACTTGTTAGTGATGATGATGATGGTGATTGTTAACTTGTTAGTGATGATGATGATGGTGATTGTTAACTTGTTAGTGATGATGATGATGGTGATTGTTAACTTGTTAGTGATGATGATGATGGTGATTGCTAACTTGTTAGTGATGATGATGATGGTGATTGCTAACTTGTTAGTGATAATGATGATGAATGTTGACATGTTAATGTTAATGATGATGATTGTTAACTTGTTAGTGATGATGATGATGAATGTTGACATGTTAATGATGATGATGATGATGGTTGTTAACATGCTAATGATGATGATGATGATTGTTAACTTGTTAGTGATGATGATGATGATGCGGTGTGAATTCTATGTAACATCATAATGTTATCCAATAATTAAAATTGAACGCTCAATCAATACCTGCAACACTTATGTACATTATTATTGTTATTATTATTATTATTATTGTTGTTGTTGTTGTTTGTTGTTGTTGTTTTTCCTATTATTCTTTCATGTTTTCCATCAACCAATCGCAGCAACAACAACAACATCAACCAATCACAACAAAAACAACAACAACAACAGATGGACCATATGTTACCATAACGACGACTACATCATCATCATCATCTTCATCTACTTCATCACCATCATCATCATCATCTTCACCGTCTTCGTCATCATCATCATCATTGTCTGTAATCGAAGATCGGACAATAATACTAAACTGTAACGCCGATTCATACCCACCAATTAATAATAGTAATAATAATAACACCAATAATAATAATAATAATAATAATAATAGTATTAATAATAATAATAATAGTAGTATTAATAATATGTTTGGTCTGACTTGGATTTTCCAGAAATTTAACACGTCCGAGATAATGTTATTAAGTAGGGATCAAGTTTATTATTAGTAGTATTATTGTTATTATTATTATTATTATTATTATTGTTATTATTGTTATTATTATTATTGTTGTTATTATTATTATTTTCTTTGCAGTTACAAACAGCAGCACCTTGAGAATGGCGAGTGTATCCCATGAAACTAGTGACGGTACTTATACGTGCGTGGCAAATAATGCATACAAAAGTAGCAACAGATCTGTCCGTATTCATATACTATGTTAGTATGTGTTTGTGTGTGTTTGTATGTATGTATGTATGTATGTATGTATGTATGTATGTGTGTATGAGTGGGTGTATGTGTGTGTATGTATGTGTGTGTGTATGTGTGTGTGTATGTGTATGTGTATGTGTGTGTGTATGTATGTGTGTATGAGTGGGTGTATGTGTGTGTATGTATGTGTGTGTGTGTATGTATGTATGTGTGTGTGTGTATGTATGTGTGTATGAGTGGGTGTATGTGTATGTATGTGTGTGATGTATGTGTGTGTGTGTGTGTATGTGTGTATGTTTGTGTTATATGTGTTAAATTTTTAATGTTTTATGTTTTAAATACTTTTTGCGAGTTCTGTGGTCTAGTTTGTCAAATTAATATCTCACATATAAATTTATTCATCCACGATTCTGTCTATGGTCATTAAAAAGGTTTTTATGTTTTGTTATCAGATGCTCCGAAGTTGAAACTCCCAAAAGCTGATGCCATCTTACGGATAAAAGAGAACAACCCAATAAATATCTCCTGCGATGTCTCATCCAACCCTTACCCCGATTTGCAGAGCATCAAATGGTATAAAAATGAAACGATGATTTCTATTGGTCGAGAGTTGTACGTGCCACGGGCCAAGCGATCCGATTCGTCGGTTTACGAATGTAGGGCGACCAATGAGATGAGAGGATTCGATGGCGAGGTTGTTATTGGCCAAGGAAATGAGTCAGTTCAACTCCGGGTTATATGTTAGTTTATCATTATTATTATCATTTGTGGCTGAAATAAATCATCACATCTTTTAAACAGATAACTAGAATTTAATATAAATACCATACAAATATCAATAAAATGACGAAGGAGAGTGACAAAATTAATCATAAAAACAATTGAGTAATAATAACAATAATAACAATAACAATAATAATTATAATTATAAATTCATCAATCCCAAGACAAACCAGGAGCAGCTACAATAGCACTGACCAACCAATCAAACGTCTACCTAGGCGATGACGTCATTATGACTTGTACGGTTGATGACGTTGGTAAGGATTAATATTGGTAGTAGTAGTAGTAGTAGTAGTAGTAGTAGTAGTAGTAGTAGTAGTAGTAGTAGTAGTAGAAAGTGTAGTAGTAGTAGTAGTAGCAGTGGCAGTAGTAGTAACAAAGATTTCATCGAATGATTTCCAATTACAATCCACATTTTCAGATCCAGCTACAAAACTGGGCGTGACCTGGTTCTACAACGGTGACGTCATCAATCAATCATCCCCGTTAATCTCTTCGTCATCCTCTTCCTCTTCATCATCTTCGTCGTCGTCGTCGTCATCTTTGAAATTGTTCAGCGTAACTTTCGATAGCGTTGGAAATTATTCGTGTGGCGGAAGTAACGAAGCGGGCGTCGGTGGCCTCTCTAGCGTTTTGATGCTCGACGTTTTTGGTTAGTTTATTAGTGGAATGAGAGAATGAATGGATGAATGGATTAATGAATGGATGAATTAATGAGCGGATGAATTAATGAATGGACAGATGGATTAAGTAAATTGCCGAACGAATGAGTAGATTGATAATTGGATTGTCGGTTGAATGAATGAATGAATGGATAGAAAAAAATGAATGGATGAAGACTAAATGAATGATAGGATAAGATGAATGAATGATCCACGAATAAATGAATGAGCGAGTGATAGATAAATGAATGAATTAATGAATAGATTATATATAAACGAGTGTTTATTTATTCTTTCAGAAAAACCAAAACTAAAATCATTTTCCCCGCCACAAACTTCCGCCATCTTGGAACTAAACCCCAATGACGTCATCCCTAAACTGACATGCCAAGTCACCGGTAGACCGGCTCCTGATTTGGTGTGGACGAAAGATGGGACGCCAATAAATATGGACGACAGTGGAAAAGTGAATTCCAATTATGAATCTGAATATTTTACTATAACCAGTAAAATTTACGACAATGAAAACAGTAATAGTAGCAGAAACAGTAGCGATAGCAGCAGCAGTAGCAGCAGCAGCAGCAGTAGTAGTAGTAGTAGTGGCGTTTCAAAAAGTCTAAAAGTTACAGAATCAAATATTGTAATCAAATCAGGTAAATACTTTTGTCATGTAAATTTTTGTTTTAATTTTTAAACGGAGTTATTTAAACTATTGCCTGCTCATTACTTTGTAAAAATTTGATTTAAATTTTTTGATATTTTTTCAAAAACATTTCTAAAAAAGTATTTTCTTTTTCCTTACATCCTCATAGCTAATAATCATTAATTGAATTATTAATTGATTGACTGACCGATTAATCATAATCATAATTAAAATATTCATAATAATTGTTTACGCATTTTATTATTTGTTTCATTAGGCACTTCACCCTCTATCAGCTCTGGAAATTATTCCTATTGGGCTAGACAAACAAACAACAACAACAACAATAACAACAACAACAATAATAATAATAATTTGATGTTTTATATGGGTAGCTCTTTGATTGCTGTAAAACGTAAGAATATTGATTGATTGATTAGTGGTCAAACAATTCTTTATACATTTTTTTATTAGATTCAAATTATTTTTTCCCGTCCAATAGATCAACCGACTTTCAACCAATCAGCAATCGTCAACCAATCAGCTGATTTTAATCAGCCAATAACATTCAAATGTGCGTGCTCTTCCTATCCAATTCCATCGTTTACATGGAAACAAAACAATTCAACGATTAATTCTATAAGCTCCAATAAATACGTCATCAGAGAGGCTGTCACTGATTGGCCAGCAAAACATCAATCATTATTAACTCTCACCTTATTGGAAAAGAGCGACTCTGGGGCGTATACGTGTGAAGCTAAAAATAACTTAGGGTCCGCTCTACAGCAATTTATGCTTGCTGTCAATAGTTAGTCATAACTTAGTTACGAAATTTTATCATTTTAATTGAATTTCTATTATTTTTTAGGTTTAAAATGTTTAAATTTTTTTTTAATGTACTTGAAAGTGTGTTTGAAGATAATAATATGGCTGAATGTGTTTACCTCTATAGCTCCACCAACACCAGTTAGTGAAATTAGTGTAAAATCGTCAGCGTGGGACTCTCTGACAGTTTCTTGGACCCCAGGGCAAGATGGCGGATATAAGCAAACTTTTAAAGTCTACTGTTTGGATGGCAAAAAATCAAAGTTAGTGAAAAGACAAACAACAACGGAACAGAGGAATAGTTTGGAACCAATTGTAACTTCTGAAACATCTGTCGTTATTAAAGGTTTGTCAGCTAATTAATTTAATAATCATTCAATCGAGGAAGCAAGCAAGCAATTTGTATTTGTATAGCGCAATTTTTTTTCAAATTTTTCTATTCTTTTTCTATACTTGCAAAACAAGCGGCTACTAAAATTTAGAAATAAAATTAGAAACAATTTTACTATAAGTAATAGAAATAGCAACAAATATGAAGCCAGACGTTACGTTCATCAGAATCTTTTTTATAATTTTTGATTATTTGTGTTTTAACGAAAAATTATTTGAAATAAAACCCTCTCACTTATTTATTCAAGGCTTGAAACCGTCAACCGAATATCAAGTCATAGTCGAATCTTCGAATAAACTCGGTTCGTCCGGTAATTCAAGTGAATATTCCGTTAAGACACTGGGTAAGGAATGATTGATAATAAATTGGTGTGATTAATATTTTGATTAATGAGGAGTAAAAAAGTTTTATTATTAATAATATGAATAAATTTTCAAGTTAAATTTATATTTTTCCACAGTTAATTTATTATAAATCAATATAAAATTCTAAAAATAGCTCTCGAGATTCTCGCCACAAAAGACTTGACCTATCAGAGACGATCTCAGTCAATCATTAACTTGAATCCACCAAACATATCGCCGGAATCATCGTGCCTTAGAATTGTCCCAACCAATCAAATTACCAACAATCAGATCAATAAAACGTTGGCAGTTTTCAAATGTTTGCCACTGAAAGAAACTGAAACTAGGCTAAAAATAAATGACGAAAGTGTTTTTGGGGATTTCCAGAACGTGGAAGTGTCGTATTGTTTGGTGGGGAGGAATGAAATCTGTGGCAAATCATCGCTGATGGGTGCGTGATGTTTAATTCATTCATTTCATTTATTTGACTTTTTCTTCAATCAATCATCTAGCAGCATTCCTACACCACACACACACACACACACGCACACACACACACACACACACACACACAGCGCACGTGAATACGCTTTAATCAGCGCATCACATGTGATAGATAGGATTCTCTCTGCCTTTAAACCCAGACACGGCGTAAGCAGGATCAAGCGCCTTAACCATTATACCATATAGCTGACATCAATTCGTCAATAAATCCATCCTATTCAACTATCCATCCATCCATCAATTCATCTATCTATCCATCCATCCATTCATCCATCCATCCATCCATCCATCCATCCATCCATTTTTATTCATCCACTTATAGATTTTGATTTTTACACGGTCAGTAAGGAGGGCATCATAGCAATGGCGGTCATATTCTCGTTGCTGTTCCTCTTCTTATTGGCTGGCCTGATCACGTGCCTCGTCTGCTGCTGCTGCTGCAAGGAAAAGTGTAAGAGATGGAAAGATAGTGAGTATTCTGGAAAGGGCGGGAAGAGGATTGTGATGATGATGATGATGATTATGTTGATAGCGATGATATTGGAGATGATTATGTTGATGATGTTAATGAATGTTATGTAGATGATGGTGATGATAAAGATGATGATGACGACGACGACGATGATGAACAAGCATATCTTAAATCTTTTTTCAGAATCAAAACAAAGAACAAGCTCAGTTCAAACATATGGGTAAAACATAGCAAATAAAAATAACATAATATTTCATCATAATTAAATAAAATTTTATTTGTAATAACCAATGAATGTTATGCGAAGGTTAAGACGCTTGACGCTGCTGTTGCAGTGACCTAGTTCGAAAGCAAGAAGACCCCCGCCTGTGTGTGTTTTTTGTTGATGCCTCTGAAAGAATTGTAAAATAGTTATTATTAATTATAACCAGGGAATTCCCAATCAAAGAAATGCTACAGATCGAAGATTTAAACAATCGGGACATCTCTACTAACTATGACGTCACTGAAACGGGCAGCCAATCGAGAGAGCCAAACAATTTGAATTTTAAATATTTAAACAACCGACCGGATGTTGTTGCCACTGGTGGAGGAGGAGTTGATGACGTCAACATGGTCGATCTGAGTAGATGTTAGTATTTTAGTAATAATAATAATAACAAAAACAACAATAATAATAATAATAACAAAAACAATAATAATAATAATAATATTTGTATTTCCATTATTAATGATGTTATAGACGATTCGCCTGTTGAGGTGAAGCGAGCTTCATATTCCAGCAGTAAAACGACAAGCCACAACAGCTACTACACCAACGGCCAGAACAACAACAAGGACAACAGTAACACTCATAACAACAAACTGATAAATAACAACAACAATTTGATTTTCTACAGCAGTAGCAACAACAACAACAACAACAATAATTACAATAACGATAAACCTCTTACAAACATTTACAACAACAACAACAACAACAACAACAACAACAACAACAACAACAATGATAATAATAATAATAATAATAATGTAAATAATAAAACTAATCAAATTTTTTACCTACAACCACCCATTTATTTTAATAACGACGGTTACGTTGGTGGTAGCGGAAGTGACAACGAAGACGACGAGGCAAATGGCGGGAAAATATTTTACGAGGTTGTTGTTTGAGCTTTTGAAAAGCTAATTTAATAGTTATAATAGGCAGAAGAAGAAGAAGAAGAAGAAGAAGAAGAAGAAGAAGAAGAAGAAGAAGAAGAAGAAGAAGAAGATGATGATGATGAAGAAGAAGGAGAAGAAGAAGAAGAAAAAGAAGAATTATTGAGTTTCCGCTATTGTTGCTGCTAGATTTCTAAATAATTTTCAATAATAATAATAATAATAATAATAATAATAAGATAATAATAATTATTATTATTGTTATTTTAATAATTTTTACAAGTCCAAGCAATGATAAACCTATTACTTTTATCTGTGATGGTTCAAACATTTTAACTAATGTGATGATTATTCGTTTATTAATTATAATAATAATAATTTTTAATTATTATTATTATTATTATGTCTCTTTGTGTATATAACGAGAAGTGCTAGAACAAACACGGCAATAAAATTTTCTTCTGACTACAGGTTTAAATTTCATTTTAGTTATATTTTTTAAAATTATTTAAATATATTATTATCATTCTTTTTATTATTATTGTTATTAGTAGTAGTAGTAGTAATAGTAGAAGTTGTAGTTGTAGTAGCAGTAGTAGTAGTAGTAGAAGTAGATCATCCGATTAGCGTTCAACTAATTAATTAATTGGTTTTAAAAATTTATTTTATTTTATTTTGGTTTTAAAATGTGTAAATGTTCACTTTGCAAATAACTGTTAAGCAATATTGTGATGAAGATGATGTTTTTATATAAATGTGTATCGTATTAACTGCACACGCACGCACACACACACACACACACATACACACATAAAGACAATCAAACACAACCGTATACATATACAATACACGTACATTTATATATATATATGTATAGATATTATACATACACACACATACACTCACATACACATACACTGTAGACAAATGCAAGCATACAAAAAAATCACATAAATATGCATTTATATATACTTTTACCGTTACGCTTAAGCGAAACTTAAGCACAAATACACGCACATATACACACGTACATACACACATACATGCACACACACATATATATGTATATATATACAAACAAACAAGCAAACAAACCAACTTACAAACGTGAGTTTTTTTTCCAGTTTATTTATATGTATTCTTTCTTATTTACGACTATTGTATTTTTTATAATTTGTTATACATACAATTACGACTTACGACTTCACCATGTTCGAAGACTTTTGGTTTTAGTTTTACTCTGATCTTCATATTTACTACTTAGCATCATAAATACACACACACACACACACACACACACACACACACACACACACACACACACACATACACACACACACACACACTTCACACACACACACTTCACACACACACACACACAAACAAATAAAAAAAACACATATATATTATAATATTATATCTATTTTATTGATTTTATAGATTTTTATTGCTTAAATGTGTTTCATGAATGTATTTTTTTGAACTCTGTAACTTTTTTGGTATTTATATAATTGCATGGTATTGTCTGTATTTTGCGACCTTGTATCAATTTGAAGATATCGTTGATGTATATCTGGTATTGTATGTTTGTGTATTTCGATGTATTTATGTGTATTCTTTCTTATTTACGACTATTGTATTTTTTATAATTTTTTATACATACATACAAACATACATACATGTATACAAACATACATACATGTATACAAACATACATACATGTATACAAACATACATACATACACACATAAAAACAAACAAACATACAAAAAACATGCGTAAATAGTTTGTATTCCAGTAAATTTTGTAAATATTTCATTGTCTGACTGTTTCAATGATTGTATGATCTAAATTGTATAATTGTATTGCATAACTTGTAACGTTTATTGGTGCTTATTTTGTGTTTGGACTTAACATTTTTTTATGGATCGACTATAGAATCTTAAATCTTTGATGTGTCTTTATTTGCAATTATTATTGGTCAAAAATCTTTACAACACCACTTAATCAGGTATTATCGTTGGAGAAAATTATGTATGTTTGAGGTATGTACGCTTACTTTGGGTATTGAACTTTTATAAAGTTTTTTTATTTCTCTTCTTTCACAACTGTTTTGAAGTAATGTTTAAAACTTGGAAAATAAACTCGTCAAACGAGATCTAGCTATTTATTGTTTTCTAGAAAAATCTAAATTACTTTAAAAAATTCTCACAGACTCTTATAAGCGAAATAAGTTCTTTCGCTTTTCATTTCTTCATACTCATCCAAATTCAAACGCAACATTTTTCCATTGAAGTTATTAATAACGATCTTTCGTCGCATTATAAGACAGATGTATAGCTGAACAATGATGGCTGAATGGAATAGAAAAAATTAAACATGTTAAAAACGATTGAGTTTATAAGGACGGTTCACTTACGGCAAATGGCACAATATGGAACTTTATATTTTATAACATGTGTTATCGCCAGCATTTCGAAACCTAACGTTTTGCAAGTATAAAAGATGTTTGTGGTACTTAAATTTTTATAGCAGTAGGTTTGCTTAAATTAGTATTAAGAATGCGACGCTGCAAAACTGATCGTATTCTAAAATTAAGATGGAATTTTTTAAAGAATATTCCAAAATATTTAAAAACAACTAAACAGAAACCAAAATTTCCTACAAAGTATTAATAAATATGTAAATATTTTCCCCTAGGCAAACATTGTTTGCCTAGCTAAACATTGTTTGTAAATTTTAATATAATATTAAAATAGCAATTCTAACTGTACAACCTCAACTTGGTTCGTTGTTCGTATTAGGAAGTCTAAAATGAAATAAAATATGTTTAATAGCATTATTTTGCAATTTTTTGCAAAACACAAATTTAAAGATTAGATTTTTTTATTTTATTAAAAACAATGCTTGCATTTTAGCTTGCATTTTTCGTCCTTTATATGTGAAATGGTGGTCACAGCATTGATAGACATATTAATTACGGTGTCTGTTGCTGATTCATTTGAGTTTCAGTTCGTTGATTATTTCGTTAAACTAAATGAAGCTTGGAGTGTGAACTGCAGCACTCCCTATCCCGATAAGTGGGCTGATTGGGTTTTCTCGAGTGCCGATTCCGAATACGATAGCTATATATTTATGGATGGGAAGTTCATTCAGTCCATGGAGGACAGGTCCGATTCCATTTTAAAAATAAAGTTTTACTAAATTTAAACATAGAGGACAGATTGTTCGTTAATTTGTTATATTGTTTACTTAATGAAAGTTATTTTTAACGTGGAAGTTGTTGCGTTTTTAATCCAAATCAACTTTTGCAGATACGAGATGAGTGTATCAGACGATGGCAGAAGAAGCAGCCTGTCGGTGCAGCACATGACGAAACAACACGCAGGATTGTATAGTTGCTGGCCGGATGCAACAACATTTGATCACCGGCAACATTACAAAGTCATCGTCTTGGGTAGGCTTTGAGTTAACGTTGGTATGGTAATTGGAGTTGTACAGTGTTGTAGCAAAATTTTTTTGAATTTTAAAAATACAACTTTGGCAAATTAAGAATTATTAACATGAATTAAAAATTAATTTCGAGAAAATTTTGATGTCTTAACCTTCACCCAGAAATGTGCACAGACACAGTTTCTATGCTCACTTCTGATACACACTACACCTGACTTACACCCAAATGCTATCAAGATCTATGATAGCTTTTGGGTGTGAAACAGACGGCGTTCGAACCAGGTCCGTGCGCAATAATAACGAAACAGTGCCTAGATTGCAATTCATGTGCCTGAGCTATCTGGCTAAACAATGACGAATGACTTCATCCAATTTTGTGTAGTTTGGAGGAATGACGTTATTTTTGCATCTTACAACAGATGATCTTTCAATAGACTTCACCAAGAGCGATGGTGAAAGCATATCACTGAACATGAGTGTATCTTATTTTGGATATAAACAAGAAGATCCCACCTTCAAATGCACGTTCGGTTATGGGGAAAAAATTATGAATATCAAATCGTGCAAAGTAAAAGATAATGATTTTTCGAATTGTCGTTTCGAATTCCTATATGATCTCGATGAGGAAATTCCTATAAAATGTGGGGTTTATTTTGGAAACCATTCTATAAATGGTGTTTATTTAACTCTCAGTCCAGGTAACTTTATTGCAGTTTCACTTGAATCTTATTCACCAATTCAGTGATCGCTCAAATCATTATCGTTTTAAAGAAACTGAAGTATATTTCGTGCACAAAGAAACAACTTGGCAGGTGAGTTGTACTACCGCCTCGTCCCATCCAATGAAATGGTTGTTCACGAACTTCAAAGTTCCAAACACGACCATTGCCCTTTATCAAAAGTGGATTCAAAATGCTTCTTATGCTGATAGGTGAGTTTATAAAAATTTGTTTAAATATTGTCACAGATGATTGAATACCTGAGGACCCCAACAATAATTTTATGAGCAAGTCGAATCGAGGACGGAAGAGCGGCTTCGGTTTCATATATATTTCATTATCTATCTTCCTTGTTCGTTTTAGCGAAAGACTGAATCCGAACGATGCAAAATAACATTAGAAGATATCGAGGTTACAATTTTTTAGCAGTTTGACTAAATTTGAAGTAAAAACTTGAACCAGATACAGTTTCAAAGTATCAGAGAATAGGAGTACTTACACAATGTCGATAGGACACGTTGATTTGAACCATGCAGGCACGTACATCTGTACTCACAAGTCTTCTGGCCACCTCGTCGAAAGATGTATCCAACTCAATGTCATCGGTTGTTTATTTATTTGATTGCAAAACTTATGCCTAGGCAAAAATTTTATTTCAACTTTACGACACTTTAATATCATTGTACAGATGAAACGTCAATAGATGTCTTTGGCGACCCGATGAAATTAATTATGTTGAGTTCTCATGCTGGCAGTAACGTGTCTGTACCGACATTCTCGTGCGAGTTTGATGGCGGAATGGTGGCGGTGATGGAAAATATGGAATGTAAAGTTACGAAGCAGAACTCCACGAGATGTCATTTGGTGCAAGAATATGGTGATGGACAGAAGCATCCGAAAGAATGTTACATCAAGTTTAACGATCAATTGCTACTTAAAGGTTTTTAAATTTATTTATTTCTTACGTATGACAATTGTTCTACTTTTTAAAATTTTTAAGAATTTTAATCCATTTTTATCTTAAATGAACACATGAATTGAACCAGCCACAACAGATTTTAAGAAAATAGAAACACGCAATGCACTGAAGATCGCACTGATTGTAATCTCAGTTGTGCTCCTAATAGTTACTGTTACATTTATATATTTTTGTAAAAGAAAAAAAAATTTAAATTAAACTTTAATTTAAAGTTGTAAAATTGCGGGTTGAGTAGTTGGATCAGTTAAAATTATTATCAAATAGATGAAAGAAATATTCCAACCTAAGCGCAAACGTGAGAACGGTGATACTAAACCGACTAATAAAAATTTCTTTTTGAAATATTTCCTTACCCATTCCAACTAATACTGCGCGACCTTGGTATCTTCTAATCTAATTTTGTGTCTTTCGGCTTCTACCCAGGAGTTTGTTTGAATGGGCGAGTGCCCGGCATGGGTATGGGGGGGGTTGATACAAAATAAGAAATAGATAGTACACAGGTCACTGTTTATATCTTGCCCCTGACTACTTGTACATAAGACCTTACTAATTGTATATTTACTTACATCTTTTTATCATCTTGATGAAGTTCATCAAAGTAATAAAAGTCTTGTTAGAAAAATTGAGAAACTCAGCTACAAGTTGAATAATGCTGAAAACGCAGTGATCTTTATAAATAATTGTATTTAAGATAGTCTAAACCCAAAATATATGTATATATATATATATATATATATATATATATATATATATATATATATATATACACACACATTTCTGACAGTCTTAATCCAATATTTATTAACATTTCTGACAGTCTTAATTCAATATATATATAATAAATATTATATATATATATATTTTACAATATTTTATAAACTCTACCGAATATTTGTAGTTCGTTTTTTCGATTTTTCTCCCTAAAGTTTTTTGGAGAGCGTTTAGTTTATTAAAATTCAAAATAAACTTTTTTCCGAATTCATGCTGCAAATAAGGCCATATTTCGATTCCGAAGGAATCATCATCAGTGCTAGTTGAATTATATAGGAAAATATTGACTTTGTGATAATGAACTTAGATGGAAATTAGATGTCAGATTTCTTTATTGGCTTTATTTACTACTACTACTAACAATAATAACACAACAATAATAATAATTGTAATAATAATATAATATTACAATAATAATAATTGTAATAATAATAACAACAACAATAGTAATAATAGTAATTATAATAAAGTCATTAGTGCAGTGCACTTATTCATGTAGTGTCATAGGCGTTTTAGTTTGTGAGAGACAGAAAGATTTTTGAAATTCGTAGCACCAGCCTGCCAACTAATTATTCAATGATTTTGATTTGCATACTTCTCTGGAGGCCCTCCCTAGCGGAAATCCTCTTGAATTCGATCCTGGATAACATGACATAGCATGACATTTTTTTTATTATTATCTTTTTTTTTATTTTACAAGGTTTAATACATTATTTGACTTATAAGAACATTTATTATTTCAAATTTATTCAGTATAGACTCATAGGTTTATTTAATTTATTGTTTTAAAATTGTCTTAGTTTGGAGAAGGTACAGGGACGTTCCGTCTTCGCCTTTGTTTAACGTAATAATAATAATAATAATAATAATAATAATAACAATAATAATAATAACAATAATAATAATAACAAAACATAACATTACGTGACTTGAAAATTTTCTCAAAAACCGTATTAGAAACAAATTTCTGCTTTACGTGACTGTAATTACAACAATAATAGTAATAGTAGTAATAATAACAATAATAACAATTATAATATTAATAATAATATTATAATTGGAATAATACCAACAATAATAACAACAATAATAACAGCTATATTATTAATAATAATATTATAATTGGAATAATAATATTAATGATTTCTCTCAAGACTATTTGACTCATTCATCTAGGTGACTAATTTGTTATTGTTGTTGTTGATGTTGTTTTTTGATGCTGTTATTGTTGCTATTGTTGTGAATGTTATTGTTGATGTTGTTGTTGATGTTATTTTTGTTGTTATTACTTTCTGTTGTTCCTAGTTAACTCGTGACGTTCGTAATCATGCAGGACAAATTGAAGATATGTTCGAGCGTTGTATGTATACATGTATGTATGTTTGTTTGTGTGTGTTTGTGTGTGTGTGTTTTTTCAGTTGCTTGTGTGTGTGTGTGTGTGTATGTGTATGTATGAGTGTGTATGCATGAATGTGTACAGTCACATCACATCCAACTCATTATTACTACTAGATATTAAAATCCTCCGCATCATTATCATCATCACCACCATCATTGCCATCATCATCACCACCACCATCATAATCATCACCATTACCATCGTCATCATCATCATTAAAACATCATCATCATCATCATCATCATCATCATTAAAACATCATTATCGTCATCACTATCATCATCAGCACCATCATCAACACAGACGCAATCATTCAAAGACCCTAACAAACAAACAAACAAACAAACAAACAAACAAACAAACAAACAAATACAAACACTTTTAGAAAAACAATAATTGTCTCATGATATTCTCATTTGTGCAGTTCACTGAGCCAAACATAGGCCGGTACGTTCGCATTCAAATATCATAAGCACGACTTAAAACAACTGAACAACAACAATAATAAAAGTAACGACAACAACAACAACACAAATAACATTAAAAACAATAATAATGATAATAACAACAACAACTACTACAATTATAATAATAGCAACAAAGTACTTAAGTGCCATACTATGCTAAGCAATTGCATTTTGTGTCAATTTCGAACGACAAAGGTAAGAAGAAGAAATAATATATACACATACATACATACATATAAAAATTAATTAATTGATTAATTTAAATTAATTAATTAATCAACCAGTTATTCAGTCAATCCATTATTCACACAACTAATTAATTAGTTAATTGTATAATTAATGAACTAGTTACTACTAGTTATTAGTTCTTATTCTTATAAGAAAGCAAACTTTAATTATACATATGAAGTTTATTTGCCTCAGCGTAACATAAAATACTTCATAATTAATATAAGTAATATTATTAATTATAATAATTAATTATAATACTAGAACTACTACTGCTGCTACTACTACTACTACAACTGCTACAGCCGCTTAAGGCAATTACTACTACTTCTATTACTACTGCTGCTGCTACTAAAACTGCTGCTACTATTACTACTACCACCACTACTACTACTACCACTACTATTATTACTATTACTAACAATAATAACAACAACAACAATAATAATAATAATAATAATAATAATAATTACGCCAACATTAGCGATAAATGAGACGTAAGATTTATGTGCCTAAGTAGTAGTACAAAAGTTGCAATAGAAACAGCGGGATATCCATACAACATACGCGTGTGTACTGTATGTAAAGCATTATGAGATAAAGACATTTTTTCATTGTAGGTTATTAGATCAAGAGGAAGAAGAAAAATATTAATAATAATAATAATGTTAATAGTAATAAAAAGAAGATGGCGGTAAAATCATTATTATCATTATGGCTGTTGTTGGTGGTGTTTACAGAAAGGTCACTCCAAGCTTCCATTTTCGATTTGGCCGCTGCGAAGAAGCATCAAGCCGCTCGAGTGGGTCGATGGTGATGATGATGATGATGAGGATGATGATGATGAAGATGATGAGGATGATGAAGATGATGAAGATGATGATGGAGATAAAGATGATGAGGGAAATGAGGAGAAGGAAAAGGGTGATGATGATAACGACGACGACGACGATGATGATGGTGATGACGTCAATGTAGGTGATGATGATTGTGATAGCAACGATAATGATGATGCCGATGTAGAGGATGATAATAAACTTATGACGAAACTGACGATGACAACGATTATAATTATGTTTAAACAACTGTAAATATCAGTTCCAACAAAATTAACGCAGAAATATCTGGAAAAATATGGCTACCACAACAGCAACAACAACAATAACAACAACAACAACATCAACTTAGCGGAATACACTGAAGACATAAGTAGCTCTCTTGAAGATTTCCAAAGGTTTACCGGTCTCAGAGTAACAGGTAAGTAAGTAATTAGACAAATTAAAAATTATGAACAACCATAATTTTTTTTAATTATAATTATAATTAATAATCATAATTACTGCTCATACTTAATTGACAATAATAAAAAAAAACAAGGCTTACTGGACGATGCGACAGTCGCTCAGATGGCTAAACTCCGCTGTTCATATCCCGATGTAATACAGGCAAGCAACAACAACATCAACAACAACAACAACAACAGCAATAATAAAAATAATAAAGGTGGCCGTCGGAAAAAAAGATATGCTCTATTCGGAAGTACGCATAATGATAAAATCAATAATAATTTTAATTAATAATTATTAATATTATATTTTTATTATTATTTCAATTGTTATTATTATTCTTATTATTGTTGTTGTTGTTTTTTCGCCATTCAGCAACATGGCCTAAGAACACGGTCAGTCTCTCCTACAAGATACTCCAGTATCCATCGAAGACATTTGACCTGAACAACCCAGCAGACGTTAATACTGCTCTTGCCATTGCATTTAATGTTTGTTTGTATATTCGTTTGTTTGTGTGTGTGTATTTGTTTGTTAGTTAGTTAGTTAATTAGTTAGTTAGTTAAATAGTTAGTTAGTTAGTTTTTTTTGTTTGTATTTGATTGTATGTATGTTTGCTGGTGTATATGTATTAGGGCTATTACAGGATTTGACAAAGGCATTGTGAACTAGAAGTTCATTTTATTTTATTTACAATTTTCCGAGCTGAGCTCTTCGTTCGAATGAACCAATGTCTGGATGCAATCTAAGATGTAGATAGTAACAAAGTGGCCACTCCTTCTTGCAGCTAACACTTACAAATGCGAATAACGCCAGACTCTGTCGGATTGGCAAACATAAATCCAGCCGTAAATAAATCATAAATCTTGAACAAATAATCAAAAATATTTTCTCCTACGTGAGATTTGATCTGTAAAATTATTTTCCAGTCAGTAAATTAACCAATCAGCCAACCACACCATCATTCAGGATTGGAGCTCAGTTATCCAGTTGGACTTTTACAAAACCTCGGGCCAGAGTCCAATTAGGATAGGATTCTACGATGGCTATCATGGTGATAGTGACCCTTTTGATGGTCAAGGTCATGTTTTAGCGCACACTTTTTTCCCGACGGATGGCAGGATGCATTTCGATAATGCTGAGAAGTGGTCTTCAAAAACTTCGAACAACAACAACAGTTGAGTTTTTAAATTTTGGTTTTTGTTTTAATTTCATGAAAACTCAAAACTGTTAAATGGAGGTTTAAAACATTCGTTCGTAGTAGATACGCCTTGGAAAACTAGGCAACTAAGGCTTCAAAAGTCGTTGCGTCGTGATTGTCATTGTATGATTAAAGGTTAAAAAAAAGGTTACTCTCTCTCTTTTGCGTTTGCTTCAGAGGTTTCAACGACAATCACACACAGCGTATATGAATACGCGTGCAAACCACGCATCATGCACATTGCACATGATAGGCGGGGATCTCTTTGTATTCGAACCCAGTCATTGCAATAGCACGATCAGGCGCACTAATAACACTGTTAGACAGACACAGATAGACGTTTGAATACTGATTTTGCTCTGGCGGAAATAAATATAATTTAATGAATTGTTTTTTTTTTCATTCCAGCTATAAATCTCCGTCAAGTAGCCACCCACGAAATAGGTCACCTAATTGGGTTAGGTCATTCCAATGTCAAAGGTGCGGTCATGTTTCCTTACTATTCATTTCAGAAGAATTTTACACTACACCCTGACGACATAAAAGGGGCTTTAAAACTCTTTAGTAAGTATCATTGCACTTATCTTAAGTACAGCTGCACTTATTTCATAAAAAATTTAACAATTTTTGAAATTTTTTGAAATTTAGGAAAAGTATTGGAATAATAAGAGTAATAATACTTTTGCCAAATCTGAAAAAACTTTTTAAAATTGTATTAAAATTTTCAACTGGTCACAAACAGCTACACTGTGATAGTCACTCACTCACGTTATCACCTTAAATTATCAAACCAATCACAGACCCGAGACAACAAAACAACCAGCCATCAACCGTCCGAAACGACAACCCCACTACTACCACAACCACTACTACTACTACTACTATTAGGTATCTTCCAATTGGAACAACGCAAAAAAGAAAAGGTGGTAGAAATAGAAATTGGAAATAAATTAATTTTGTCCTTCCATCTCTATTCGCTCTTTTTCTCTCTATCTCTTTCTCTCCATCTTTCTCTTTTTCTTTCTCTTTTTCTTTCTCTCTCTCTCTCTCTCTCTCTCTTGTCTCTCTCTCTCTTTCCTCTTTCTCTCTCTATTTTTTTTTCAGTTTTGTGGCTTATTTTCTCAACTACAAACAAGAAAGGAAAAATTTTATTTTTTAAATTCATGCAAGTGATGTTTTGATAAGACATTCACGAATTTTATATTATATTTTTATTATTTTTTTGTTATTACCATTATTTTCAAAGTTGATTACTTGCTTATTGTTTCAAACGTTTTGAATGTTCATATTCATTAGAATAAAATACTTCGCAAGTTGATCATGCGGTTTTTGGTTTTGAAAGTGAAGAAATTGCTCACATACACACATACGTAAGAACAAACAAACAAACGAACGATCAAACGACATCTCGTGCATACAAACAACAAATATACACAGACACAACTGAAACAATCGCAAATTATAAACCAATAAAGATGAAAAAAAACATAGATACAAAAACGAATTTATATGTCTATGGATTCAAACTCTGACTTGAGTAAATTCAATTGCCGATTTAGAAATTTTTAGTTAAGGAGAGAGGGAGACATTTTTGTAAATTCAAATTTTCATATTTTTACGCTGGCTTCTAGTAAAGAACCACACAAACAAACAACAACACAAACAAGCATACAACACAAACAAACATACAACACAAACAAACATACAACACAAACACACCACAAAAACAAAATAACAACACAAGCATACATACAACAACACAAAAAAACATACAAAAACACAAGCAAACAGCCACACAAACAAACAGCAACGCAAATACAAACAAACACACCTTAACATTAACTATACTAATTCCAAACGTATAAAATCTTTCGGAAAATTTCCCCTAAATACGTGGCACAACAAGACATCTTCACATTGGTACAGCCTGAAAGATAACTCATTAGAAATCTCCTAACCACATACCTTAACTACAAACAATTGTTTAACTTCTATATAATAATATTAATAAATAATAATAATAATAATAATGAATAAAATAGATGATATAAAATAATATAGCGTTAATGAAATAATAATAATAATATTAATAAATAATAATAATAGTAATTAAAAGAATGACATTCCTACGCTAAAATAAAAATCCCCATTACATAATCACTACTTATAGTCTGTAAGAACAATGAGCAGACTAATACAATACAACATGCTAAAGTATTACTCAAATATATACTACATACCTAAGCTACAAACAAATACTAAATACTAACTCTATAGAGTTACCTAGATATATACAGTCACAGTAAAATACTAGCTCTAACTCTATTACAGGAGTACAATGTTGAATACTATCATAAGTAAGTAAGTAGTCTAGGTGTCAGAGTAAAACTAAACTACATAGAGATAACCTAATTTAAATAGCACGTTCAAACGAACTAAATTTAACTGCTAGTTGGGAAGCTGTTTAAAAATATACATTGTCTTACTGTTAATTAATTAATTAATTAATTAATTAATTAATTAATTAATTAATTAATTAATTAATTAATTAATTAATTAATTAATTAACTAATTAATTGACAATAGTTAGTTAATCAATTAATTAATTACCCTTATTAATTAATTAATTAATTAATTAACTATTGTCAATTAATTAGTACTGCGTTATCACTACAAATGTATAATTGAAATACGGTACTCTTATAATTATAAATAAATAAGTGAAGTACTAATATACTACTACTACTGCTTAATTAATTAAAATAATTAATTAATTTAATTAATTGAATGGTTAAATTCCAGTTATTAGCAAACTGACATTGCTGTTTTGTAGACATACTCACGTACACACACAAGCACACACATACACACGCACATACATATAGACATATACACAAACACAAACACACACACACATACATACATATAAAATGGCAAAATATTTGTTGATGATGATGACGTTATTGTTGTTACTGTTGTTTATTGAACGGACCTTACAAATCCCAATTTCCAAATTAACAACACAACAACAACAACGACAAACTGCCCAGGTAAGTCAGTGTTGGTGATGATAATAATATAATAATAATGATGTTGATGATAATGATGATGACGACTATGATGATGATGACGACGACGACGACGTTGTTGTTGGTGATTATGATGGTGACAATGGTCTTTATAAAAACAGGAATTTTTAACGAAATACGGCTACCACAACAACAACAACAACAACAACAACAACAACAACAACAAAAATAAATTACCTACATATACTGATAATTTCGACATAAGTGAATCATTAAGAAGATTCCAAAAATATAATGGGCTAAAAGAGACAGGTAACGAATATTAACATATTACCAAATCTTTCTCTCTTTCTCTCTCTCCTCTCTTTCTTTTCCCTTTCTCCGTTATTATTATTATTATTATTATTGCAACAGGACAGTTGGACAGTTGGACCCTGGATAAGATGAGTAAGCCGCGGTGCCCCATGCCAGATATCATCGCGAATAATAATAATAATAATAATAATAATAATAACAGAGTCCGTCGAAACAAGAGATATGTACTTTCCGGAAGTGAGTGTGATGATGCCGACGATGATGACGTCATCGTCGTTGACGTCATCATTATCATCATCTTCCTCATCATCATCATCATCTTCCTCATCATCATCATCATCATCATCATCATCAGCAGCAGCAGCAGCAGCAACAACATCATCACTAAACAGGTAAATGGCCAAACACCTTTAAGCTTAGCTATAGAATACTGACCTATCCCAAAACCTACAATGATTTGAAACTGCCGACAGACATCAATAACGCTCTGGCATCTGCTTTCAAAGTTGTTTTTATTATTTGTTATTATTGTTATTATTATTATTATTATTGTTGTTGCTGTTGTTGTTGTGGTTTTGTCTTTCAAAAATATAAATAACAAACACGTACCTCTGCCACCACCTACGGATATGTCACGTGATAAACGCGCGAACTCGGTGCGTTCGAACCCGGTCACGACGTCAGCAGTGCCAGACGAGTTAACCACCAGGCTACTGAAATTATGAATAGAGATTTTAAATCTCAAACAGGCTTGGAGTTCAGTGATTAGATTGGATTTCTACAAAACCGACAACACAAGCTCCAACATAGTGGTTGCGTTCTACAGTGGGGATCACGGTGATGGCTACAGTTTTGGGACGGTTATAGCCCAGCTGGCCCACGCCGCCTATCCAACTGGGGGGTACATCCACTACAACGATGCCGTCTCATGGTCGTCTGGGGCAGTCCCTGATAGTTCGTTTTAGTTTTATCGTCTCTGTTTTTTGTTTTCTTTTGCTTAATTTTGAATGTTTTTAGAGCCCTAGTCAAAAATTTGCGTTAGAACTGACCAGGGCATAATAAAACATCAAAATTTTGACAAGAGTTTAAAAGTTCTTCTTAAGACATTAGCCAAAAATTTGCGTTAAATGAGCATCGGATGCATCCCAAGTAAAAAATTTCTGATGATTAATAAAAAATTTTTGGGTGAGCGTCAAATTCTTTCCCAAGCTTAACTAAAACTCTTTAACTTTAATCAACGTGTGAAAATTGATCATCGCACTCGAGGTAGGGATTTTTTTCAAAGCCTTAGATACAATACTTATAAAATAATCACTGAATTCAAAGACATCAAAACCATTTTATCCCTTTTTTACCCCTTCTAGCATACAACGTGACCCAGGTAGCCCTGCACGAGATTGGACACTTAATAGGGCTGGCCCACTCAGATGTTTTGCAGGCCGTCATGTATCCCTACTTTATAACCCAGGGAGTTACTTCACTACAAGCAGACGATATATACGCCGCCCAGCTCTTGTATGGTTAGTATTCTTGATTGGTTAGTATTCTTCAATTTGAAATAAAATTTTAATAAAAGTAATAAATACATTTTTTGAAATATTTATAAAAAATATTGATCATATATGCTATCATCATTTTCCTAATAAAAATGAAATATTTTCATACGGTCATCATAAATATTTTCATCATCAACATTTTCATCATCAAGATTTTTCTCATCAACATTTTCATCATCTACATCACTTTAAACATCCATGCCCACAATCTTAACGTATTTTTTATACGTATCAACAAGAAACGCAGACATGTGAATCTGCGCACCACATACATTGCATGTGGTAGTCATGAATCTCCATGCTGTCAAACCCGATCGCTGCGTCGTCAGTGCCAAACACCTTAACCATTACACCATCACGGTCACAATCACACATTCCCAAATGTAACACTAACAGAAGCAAGGGAGAATTTTACCACCGTGCCAAGTTTGCCGGCACCCACAACATACAACCTAGGAGAAACCCCCACTCCAAGAAGGACCACAATGTTCCTGCCGACCACATCCACAATTTACGACCTACCTTCAACCACACCTTCGTCATTTTTATTCACAAAGCTTCAAACAAATGTAGCGTCCACTATTAGACCAACCATGGCCCTCTTCCAGCCGACCATGGCCACAACCTACAGCCTGCCCTTTACACCTTTTCTACCATTTTCATCCACTAAGCTCCAGACAAACCTTGCATCTACATTTCAACCATCGATAGCTCCAACTACACCACCACTACCACCACCATCCACAAAGATTCTACCGCCAATGACTACCGCTACCACACAGGCGTTTTGGTGGCAGTTCGCTTCTACTCCAACGCCAAAATTTTAGACTCAGTTATTTTTAATGTCTTGTTTACAAAAAAAAACTGTAGAAAATGTAATTTGAATAGAATTGCAAATTACTGCTATCACGATGCTCAATTTTTATTTTATTTATTTCATTTTGTTTACAAAAACAAAACTTTGCTTTGTGGTGTGAGTGTGTGTGTGTGTGTGTGTGTGTGGTGTGTGTGTAAGAGAGAGAGAGAGAGAGAGAGAGAGAGAGAGAGAGAGAGAGAGAGAGAGAGAGAGAGAGAGAGAGAGAGAGAAAATGTCGCATTAGTTTACGTATTAGCATTGCATATTAACACTAGTACATACATAGTGCATAATTCAATTAATCGTTGTTATCGTTACTGTTAATCTGAGTTACATTATATAACAGTGTCTTGACACATACAAACTACTAACACACAAACAGTCACATACACACACACACAAACACACACACATACAAACACACGAACACACACACACGAACAACACACACACATATACGATTTAATTTTCTTCCTTTATAACATTTAAAATATAATCTTGGGTTACTTCATTGGCATAATGCCACAGTTTACTTACTTTAATTTGAAAGATTTTTTTAGGTAAATATACAAATTATTCAAAAACTATTATATGTTCGTGTGCGTGCGTGTGTGTGCGTGTTTGTCAGCGATCAGGTTCGAATGCAAATACTTCACCACCCATCATACATAATACAATGCGTGCCGCACCTTGATTCACGCTAATTCATGTGCATTGTATCTGTTTGTGTTTGTGTGTCTGTGTGTGTGTTTGTGTGTGTAAATGTGTATTAGTGTGTTTGTGCGTTGTATGTGTGTAAATGAATATTTGTGTGTGTGTGTATGTGTGGCTATGACATGATATCCTTTTTATTATTGATATTTTTATAAATGATGATAGATATCTATAGTTCAATTTTTGTCGTGTTGACTAGCAAGAGTTTGGAGGGTGTCATTTTTAATAATTTTCAGGTTTTGAGATTTTCGTTTCAGGTTTCGACAAAAACGAATTAGTTTATTGTTGTTAAAATAGAAAAAATCTTTTAAAATAATACAATTATATAAAATATAAACAAATTTAAACATAAATAGATGAAAAAATATAGACATATATAAACACATAAAAATAAACACAAACGAACAGAGGCACACAAACTTAGCAAGCAACCAAGCAAAACACACATACATACACACACGCACACACTCACACACATACATACAAACATACATACATACATACATACATACATACATACATACATACATACATACATACATACATACATACATACATACGTACATACGTACACACATACATACAAACATACATACATACATACATACATACATACATACATACATACATACATACATACATACATACATACATACATACGTACATACGTACATACATACGTACATACGTACATACATATATACAAACATTCAAACATACAAAACAATCCCACCATGTCAAACAATGACATATCAACTCATCAAATTTAATTTCATAAATTATACATGTAACTATTCACTCATTATTCTTGCGTAACAACAGCAACAACAAAAACAACAACAACAAAAACAACAACAACAACAACAAAAACAACAACAACAGCTAAAACATCAACAACAACAACTAAAACATCAACAACAACATCAACAGCCTCTAGTTCCTCCTCGCAAAACAACAACAACAACAACTACAACAACAATAATAATAATAACAACAACAATAATAATAATAATGATATTATTATGATGACTTGCACAAACAAACCCATTGAGTCATCTTAGTTTGTCGAGGTACCAAGCTATACTCATTGTCAAAAATTGTTTGCATACTTGCTTGTTTGTTTTTCCGTTCGTTCGTTCGTTCGTTCGTTCGTTCGTTCATTTGTTTGACGATGACTTTCTGGACAACAGTAATATGAATGATAGCAACATTTTCAACAACAACAACAACGATAATAATAATAATAATAATAATCATAATTATGACGATAATAATATTAATATAATTATTGTTGTTATTATTATTATTAACAACAGCACTAATAAAAGATAATCTCATGCTGTCTCGAAGTTCCGCCTGTTTAAAACGAACTCAACAACAACAACAGCAACAACAACAACAACAGCAACAATATATGTGTAAGGAAGTTGTTTTATATAATATTTCTTATTTATCAAGATTAAATATTCAATTAATCGATCAAAAAGCTAATCAATTAAATAACTAATAATATATTTAATAATTACAGCAACAACATCAACAACAACAGCAGCAACAACAACAACAATAACAATAATAATAATAATAATTATGCTGAAAATGTTGTTGACGATGTTGTTGGTATCCTCCCTAGTGTTCTTATCACATCAGGCGCCTGTCTTGGAGATGGAAAGGAGGGAAAATAACAATAACAATAATAATAATAATAATAATAATAATAATAATAATAATAATAATAATAATAAAGATATTGATGGCGATTTCGTTAATGTTAGCCAGTTAACCAGTTTATTGTTTTTGTTCGTGATTTCGTGATGATGATGTTGGTGTTGTTGTTGATTATGATGATGTTGTTGTTGTTGTTGTTGTTGTTGATGATGATGATGATAATAATAATAATATTATTATTATTAGTTGGAATATATGTTAAACGCTAATATAACAACAACTACCAATACATACAGAGGTACCTAAAATGGAATGGTTACATGGAAGACGGCAACAACAACAACAACAACAACAATAATAATAATAATAATAATAGTAATAATAATAATGACAATTTCGACTCTTCGCCAAAACTGAAAAAGTTAGCTTCAAATGTCATCATGCAAACTGATAGGATCAAAAAAGGTCTCAGAGAATTACAAAAATTTGCCGGTCTCAAAGTCACAGGTATTTCGATAACCCGATATCTGCACGCACACACACACACACACACACACACACACACACACGCACACACACAGTCACACATACACACGCACACACATACACACAAACCTCGTGTTTCTATATAACATCCATACACCAAAACGTCACATACACACACCAAAAATATGGGTTTAATATCCAACACGTCACATACACACACACCACAAATTTTGTGTGTAACACAACTACACACGACACACACACACACACACACATGCAACATCAACATTTGACCGTATTTATTTCGTAAAACATGATATGCTTATTTAGCTAAAGTCACCAAGAGCCATCCATCATTGCTTGCCGAAGTGGCCTCTTTTATATTTCAATTTTTTTGTCTTTTATTGAAAAATAAACCTGTTATAATAAAAAAAATAACGACTCCAAACATTGCTACTAATCTGCTTGCTTGCTTGCTTGCTTGCTAATACCTGCAAATGAATGCATAACAACGGAATGCCATTCATAACACAACACATCAATTTAATAAAGGACACAAACTTAGCGTTTCTAGACCATAAGACATAAGAAAACATTAAAAAAAATATAATTGACCCTCAAAGGTTAAAGGTCAATTACACTCTTCCAAAGTTCAGAGGATCCAACAAGACGCCACGAACGACGCATCACACACGGAGCATATGATGGTCGGGGATCTTTTTTGCCATATTCGAACCCGGCTACTGCGAAACAGCACCAGGCGACCTTAACCACTAGGCCATCACGACAAAACAATGAATAATAATACAAAAAACATTTTTACCTCGCTGTTTCTACTCCAAAGGCAATAATACCGGATTATTTATACCTCAAATATACCAACAAATACCAAAAAATTTGTAGGAGTGTTGGATGAAGCGACGAAGGAGTTGATGAAAAGATCACGTTGCCAGTGGCCTGATGTAGAGAGGAATGACAGAAGACTTGATAAGAGATATTCATTTGCCGGAGGTATGGTTTATTTGTGTTTGTTGAGATTGTGTTTGTCGTGTGTGTGCGTGTTTGTGTTCGTTTGTTTGTGTGTGTATTTTGTTTTGTGTTTGTGTGTTTTGTTAGCGTTTGTTTGTGTGTGTGTGTGTTTGTTTGATTTTATTTGTTTGTTGCCAGTAGCTTAGTTCAGTTGAGATTATTTGATGGGTTGATTTACGTGTATTTAAATACGCTGTGTGTTTGTGTGTCTATGTGTGTGTGTATGTGTGTATGTGCGTGTGTGTGTGTGTGTGTCCGTGTAATTGATGTTACTGAATGATTCATTGAGACTAATAGCCACTAAATAACCACCATAACATCATCATAACACCATATAACCATAACGTGATACCACCATATAAACATAACAAGACATCATCACATCGTTACATCATCACATCATTACATCGTCACATCGTTACATCATCACATCATTACATCACCACAACAATACATCATCACGTTAACAGAAAAATGGGAACCAGGTTCCAACCTTCTCTACAAGATTTCGACCTACCCTTCGAAATCCTATGACTTTTACAATAAAAGGCCGGACGCTGATAGCGCCATAGCAACTGCTTTTGATGTAATGCACACAATTTGAAAATAACAATGATAATAATAATAATAATCATCATCATCGTCTTTATTATCATCATCTTCTTGTTCTTCACCATCATCTTCATCACTATTACCACCATCATCATCATCTTCTTCTTCACCATCATCTTCATCACTATTACCACCACCATCATCATCTTCTTCTTCACCATCACCATCATCTTCATCACTATCATTATCATCACAATCATCATCTTCATCATCGTCATCTTCATCATCTTCATAGGACTGGAGCTCTGTGGCGAATATTTTTTTCACCAAATCCGAAAGCTCCAATTCCCAAATAAAAATCGACTTCTGCGAAAGGGACCACGGTGATGGCTACCCATTTGACGGTCCGGGTTCTGTAACATCCCATTCCTTTTTTCCCAGAAATGGCAGAATGCATTTCGACAATGACGAGAACTGGTCCAAGGGTCAGTGGATAACATACGTCGTTTTGCAGTTAACAAATCTTTTAAAACCTTAGGCGAAGATGGATTTTTATACTCAATCACTGCCTATCGGAAAGTTATTTCTGGAAATTTTAGCCACTTTTAAATTAACGTCCCATGTTTGTTTGCTGGCTTGTTTGTTTGTTTGTATGTTTTTTTTGATTGTTTGTTTGTTTGTTTGCGTGTTTGCTAGTTTGTCTGCTTGTTTGCTTGTTTGTTTGTTTTTTCATTTCGCTTGTTCGTCTGTTTATTTGCTACCATGGTTCAAACCTTGCAAATCTCTCATCGACAACTCCTTACTCTCCGATAAAGCTGAAATTTTGCTCTTCTCTGAAGACAATTCTTGGATTAATTACCAGACTTAATTTAATAAAATAAACTATTTAATAAATTAAAAAAAAAAATGTTAATAAATTAAAGAGATTTGCAATCAATGCAGTAATATACCAGTACCCTACATAAATCATCCTATCAATTATATTATTCTTTTATATAAATATATATTTTTTTAAAAAGTACAACTTTATATAAATATAAAAGTGGTTTCCAATACTGTATTCATTTATATCAAAAAAAACCACTACAAATTAAGATCGTAAATTTCAAATTTTTTTCAGGGAATGGTATAAACCTGCGCCAACTGGCAACTCACGAGATAGGGCACATCTTGGGCCTCCAGCATAACCCTGACCCTTTAGCCGTCATGCACCCATACTTTACCTACAGAAGTTGTTTCAAACTTCAGCAAGATGATAAGAATGGTGTCATTGCATTATACGGTCGGTATATATATATATCTTATTTATTCTCTCTTTCTCTCTCTTTCTTTCTCTTTTTCTCTCTTTCTCTCGCTCTCTCTATCTTTCTCTCTCTTCTTTTTATTTGCTTGTCCCTTTCTGTCTGAAACTTTTAAATTTTTTTCACAATCATTATCATCGTTGCTGCCAGTATCATATTTTGTTTCTTCAATTTGTCACAAACTTATTCATAATTTTTATAATTCATTTTTTTGTCTGTTTATTCACACATTCGTTTATTCGTCCATTTATTCATTCGTTTTTCATTCATTCATCCATTCATTCGTTTATCTATTTTTTTAAACTTATGTTTATTTATTACAATTCTTTAGGTGAGAAGCAGTTAAGTTGGTTTCAAAAGTTAAAGAACTGGTTTAAATTTTGTTGAAGTGTCTGTCTTCCATTCATTCATTCACTCATTCATTCACTCATTCATTATTTTAAAATTAAAATGTAGAGATAATACAATAGTACAAGTTATTAACATTAGACTGGAACATTACTAACATATTAACATCATTGGGTTTTTTCTTGAAAAATAAAAAAATAAAAAAATAAATAATAAATAGAAAAAATGAAAATAATGAATGAATGAATAAATAAATAGATAATTAACAAAATATAATATTTATGATATGTAATGTCAGTTAGATAGCGTGATGGCTAGAGACGCCTGGTTGGTCTAACCTTGTGTAGTCTCCGGTTTCGAATGCCAAGTAAATCCTACCCATGTGTAGGATTCGTTCTTGGTGTACAGGCACTGGCTATGTTAGACAATTTCGACGAAGAAGGCAGAATTTTAAAAACGAAGCGTTGAGCAGTTGGACAGGGATTTTGAAAAAGCTTCAATTTTTGTAAAAAAAATAGGTGTTATTTCCATTAAAATCGGTTAAAACGATGACTTTTTCTTCACTTTGGATAAGAATTCTGCTCACAGAGGCGACTTCCTACCTAGATTCGTTACTGATACAAAGTATCGAAAGTCATCAATTGTATCAAGGAAATGACATCTGGATAGGTCGAGAACGAATCATGTTTTTCTTTTCGATCAGCGACAAAAACAACTCGCAACATTAACGTTTGTTCGATCGTTCCTGAGACGAATTTAGCCTAGAGTGATATGAAAAGAGGAAAAATTTAGAAAAATTTCACGTTAAATCTGTCAAAACGTTCATTAATCTTTCGTTATATAACACGGCAAGATTTTTACAACAATCATTTCAGATAATAATTCATCTCAATGAGTGATGTGTTAGAGCTGGAAGATTGCAGGCAGCTGATTCATTCATTCGTTCATTCATTCGTTCGTTCGTTCGTTCGTTCGTTCGTTCATTCATATGCGAACGATTATGACTCACTTTGTTCTTTAATATTACTCATTCAATCAATTTTCACACAGCAGACTATCTTAAGCAGAAAACGTGACGTCCCATTTTAAGTCACGTTATGATGAGTCACGTGATAATTTTACGGCAAAATTAAAGAACAAACACTAAAAAACAAACAAAAACAACAACAACAACGATGACAACAACAACAGCATGAGCCAAGACAACAAAATTTTTTATTATCATCGCATCGCCTTCTCATTTTTGAACACGTGCAGATTGATATTAACACCCGAATTACTAATTATTATTATTATAATTGTTATTAATTATTATTGTTTTATTTTTTTTCTTATTCTTTTTATTTTTTTATTATTATTATTAATAATAATAATAAAAGCAGTAGTAGTAATATCAGCAGCAGCATAGTTTTAGAAGTAGTAGTAATAGTAGTAGTAGTAGTAGTAGTAGAAGTAGTAGTAGTAGTAGTAGTAGTAGTAGTAATAGTAGTAATAGTAGTAATAGTAGCAGCAGTAGTAGTAGTAGTACCTTGTTATTATTATTTATGTTATTATAATATAATTACTATTAGTCATAAAATATTTCGACACGACTCAATGTTGGCTGGCAAGTATATAAAAGTGAAGGGGACTTCGTCAAAGAAGAACACAACACTCATTTATCAAATCTAAAATACAAAACTCAGCAAACATACAATACATACAAAGGTATACAAAACATACTAAACATACAAGTTCCAATCTACAACATCACACAACAAAAAAACACAAAACACATTTTTTTCACGCAAAATTACATTTAATTACTTCCGGCTCTAAGCGATTTTATCACTACAAGTCAGTTAGTAAGAGAGTCGTCAAGTTAGTATTTTATTCTCTCAACTACATACACTGTACTAGTAACTATTGTACTGCTAGAGCAGTAACGTACTAACTTGACCTAATACAAAAGTCATAACTTTGTTATTAAATTTCGCATTTAGATTATTTTCTTTTCTAAAAAGTTAACTGTTTTATTTATTATTTTATTTATTTTTCTATTAAAGGTTAATTCAATTGATAAGTTAAATTAAGTTAATCAAAATATTTTTTTTTGTTAGAGAAGTAACATACTAACTTAATTTTATCACTGGTACAAAATTCATAACTTTGTTATTAAATTTCACATTTAGATTATTTTCTCTTTTAAAAAGTTAATAATTATTAATTAATTAATTATTAATAATTCATCGTCGTATTTATTTATCTATTGAAGGTTAATTCAATTAATAGGTTAATTTACATGTGAATATTAACGAGAGTTAATAAATTATGACGTCACGTCACAATCAAACAACAGATGGTAACGTTGGCGCGTGAAACGCTGAAAATGACGTCGATTATGACGTCATCGCTGTTGTGGTTGTTGTTTGTGGCAACTACAACAGCCGTTCCTATCGCAAGGACAATCCCGAAGCCCGGAAATGCGCGCGAAATTGAAGCCATAGTGAGTCGATGAGGATGATGATGATGATGATGATGAAGATGATGGTGATTATTATTGTTATTACTATTATTAAGATGATGATGTAGATGATGATGATGATGATGATGATGAAGAAGATGGTGATGATGATGATGATGTAGATGATGACGATGATGATGAGAAAGAAGAAAATGATGATGATGATTGAAAAGATGATGATGCTGGTGGGGATATTGGGAAGAATGATGACGACGACGACGAGGTTCTGTTTGGTGCCATCAAATCAACCACTACCAAAATTGCTGCTCCAACCAAACTTTGCAGAATTATTTGACGAAATTCGGTTACGACAACAACAATAATAAGAACAACAACAACATGGCGTCGATGACGTCATACCAAAGCCTTGAAGAACTTTTGATAAACTTTCAGAAATTCAACAGTCTGAAAGTTACAGGTGGGAACGCTGTTTTAACTAATTTATTTTGTTTAATAAAATTTGAAAATAATTATTATAACTAATTATTATTATTGAAAATATTATTTTCGCAAAAAAAACATCATCAAATAACCATCATTAGCAAAAATAATTATTATAACTAATTATTATTATTGAAAGTATTATTTTCGCCAAAAAATTACATCAAATAACCAGCATTTGCAATCTTACCATCAGGGCTTCTCTGCCATCAATACCATCACTACTAGTAACTTTTGATTTAAAACGCCATCAAGAAAATAATAATAATAATGCCAATAATAATAATTATTATAAATTTTTATAATTATTATTATCATAATTATAATTATAATTATTATTCCAGGTAAATTGGATGATGAGACTCAGGCTCTGATGAATAAACCACGCTGTTCCTTTCCAGACATTATTTCAAACAACAGCAACAACAACAACAACAACAGCAACAACAACAATAACAATCATAATAACAAGCTTGGGCAAAGACGTAAAAGATACGCATTGGTTGGATGTGAGTTTAACGATTGCCGTCCTATTTATTATAACAAATTTATTTTCCAAGTGTAGGTAATGAGGATGTTACCCTCATCATTATCATCACCATCATCTATAACATCACTATCATCGTCATTAATATCACCATCATCATCATCATTACCATCATCATTATTATAACCATCATCGTCGTCATCTTCATCATCGTCATCATCATTCAGCCAAATGGTACACTAGCCCGCTATCTTACCGCTTCGTCAACTACCCATCAAGGTCTTCCGCATCCAGCCCTGATAGCTCTCTTGCTCAAGCTTTCAATGTTTGTAGTTTTTTTGTGTGTATTTGTACATTGTGTGAGGTGGATGTGTGGTTGGTTTTGTGTCGTGTGGTGTGGACGTGTGTGTGTGTATTCGTCGTGTAGTGTGGAGGTGTGTGTGTGTGGTTTATGTCTTGTGGTGTGGAGGTATAGTGTATGGGATTGGCAGTCTTTTTGGCGCAAAAGTTTAACCACACTGTAATATATTAGAATAATATGAAAGCAGTTCTGCGACTGCATGTAATGAATAACCAAAAAACAACACTCAACTGGAAACTCTCAGGACTGGAGTTCCGTAGCAAAAATAGACTTCTACCAGACCAGCAACCAGAAAGCAAATATCCAAATCGGTTTCTACAGGGGCGATCATGGGGATGGAGATAGTTTTGACGGCAGAGGAAATGTTCTCGCCCACGCATTTTTCCCGCAGGATGGCAACCTACACTTTGATGATGACGAGTCGTGGTCAGCTGATTCTTCAGGTTGGTTTACAGCAGGATTGGTCACATTTAAAAAAGATTTTCTTCTTTGTCTTCTTCCTTTTTTTCTGCAGTTTTACTGCGTTTTAGCTCTGGTAGGCTATTTTTATGCTTTTGGTCTTTCTTTGAACCTTTTTAAAAAGCTAGGTAACTAGATGCTTTGAAAACAACGTCTATTTCCCTAATGTATGATATTCGGCTTATAATACTTTCATTTTTAAAAATTCAGTGTGTATCTTCTGGAATAGAATATTTTTTTCTCCCTCTTTTATTATATGTTTGACATTCTACAACAAAAATTCTACAGAAAAATTACCAAATTAAAAAAAAAATTAGGCACAAACCTACGCCAGGTGGCAGCGCACGAAATAGGTCACATAATTGGGTTGGGTCATACGAGGGATTCAAAAGCTGTCATGTATGCCTACTATACTTACAGGAATAATTTCCAACTGCAGCCGGATGACGTGGCAGGAGTTAGGCAGATATACGGTCCGTATTTTGTAATGTTGTTGTTGTTGTTGTTGACATTGTTGTTGTGGTTGTTGTGGTTGTTGTTGGAGGTGCTGTTGTTGTTGTTGTGGTTGTTGTTGGAGGTTTTGTTGTTGTTACTAATTTAATTTTTTACCAACAGGGGCCCGTCAAAATGACGGCAATTCCCCACAGCCTCCGAAAGCGAGCACACTGCGACCCACAACAGCCACAACTCCAAAACCGAGAAGAGATTGGTGGTGGTGGTGGTGGTGGTACGGTTGAATGGTGGATGAATGGATTAGCGAGTGAATGGATGATTGATTAGATGAATAAACAAAAATGAATGGATGGATGAATGAACAAATGATCGATTGAATAAGCATTTGATTGAGTGAATGAGTGCTTTAGTAAAGGATCAATGTTTCCTTATTGCTCGACTTGTGACTTTCACTTTCAGCAACGATTTTGTCTTTTCAAATTAATTTATTTTGAAAAAAATACTTGTTATTGTAAATTTATCTCACAATGAAAAAGTTGAAATAGAATTTTCCAAAAATTTTGCAATTGTCTTGTGCTTCTGTGTTCAAAACTTTGCTACGTCGATAAAAATAAAATTTATTTTTTAATTAAGATACTAATGTTCTTCAGTTGCATTTTTATTTTCTTCTCCTGTCTCAAATATTACCAAAAAACATGACCAAAAATTGACCTTAACCATAAACGCTGATAAATATTAATGCAAAGTGTCTTTTGTTGGTTTTTGCGAAAGGATATTAATTGACAAATTAACTTTAACAAAATAAAAATGATGGACAAAATTATTTCGTGTGTTTGTGTGTGTGTTTGTGTGTGTGTTTGTGTGTGTTTTTGTGTGTTTGTGTGTGTGTGTGTGTAAGTATACAAATGTGCGTGTTGGTCGCATACAAATTTACAATATCGTTCTAATATGAGCCGTATTATTAGTACAAAGTAAATATCACGTAAATATAAAGCTAGTGTGATGATTAAGATACACACATACACACGCACGCACGCACACGCGCACACACATGCACACACACAAATTCACATTGTATATATTAGTAAGTTAAGCCTCGGGTAGTTAGCACGAGTAGTTGAGTTTTATAGAGATTTTTTTAAGGTAGAGAAAATATTTTGTATTTTAATTAATATATTACAATTGATGAATACTTATAATGTTTAACAACAAAAGTAATAATAATAAATTGTTGTTGTTGTTGATGTTTTTTGGTCTGTCGCAACAAGCGCCTCTTCATAAAAGGGAGAGTGGCCATGTTGATGATGATTTTGTTAATGTTAGTTGATGATGGTGATGATGGTGGTGATGATGACGACGATGATGATGATGGTGATGATGATGAGGTTGATGATGAGGCTTATGAGGACGATGATGATGAGATGAAAAATATTATAATAATTATTATTATTGTTAATTATAATATGAATAATCCGTCGCAAATAATGGCAGAATTACCTTAGATGGAATGGGTACCTAAAGACTGAAAATAATAACAATAATAATAACATCAACAACAATAACAACAACAATAATAACAGCCTAATGATAAAATCTCAATTCGTAATCCCAACATACAAGAATAATAATAATAATAACAAAAACAACAACAACAACAATAATAATAATAACAATAATAACAACAACAATAATAATAATGATAATAATAATAACGATTTGGCCATTAAAAAAGCCCTGATGGATTTGCAGAAATTTGGCGGGATCAAAGTCACAGGTTAAATAAAAATTGGATAGATAAATAAATAAATTAAAAGAGTAATAATTAAGTTTGAAAAATAAATATATAAATAAAAATACAAACAAACGAACAAGCAAACAAACAAACAAACACATACATCTTCATACAAATATTTTCAGAGCTCTTTTGAAAAGGCATGAAATTCGTATATGCACTAAGGCTTATTTAACCATTAAACAATCCTACCATTGTATCAATACAACAAATCAACAACACATAGGAATACTGGATGACGCAACCAAAAGATTAATGACGTCACCGCGATGTCACTGGCCGGACATACAGGATGGGGGTACCCCAAGCGCAACGAACGCCAATCGTCGTAGTAGAAGATATGTTGTTTCCGAAAGTTTGTCGTTGTTGTCGCTACTGTCGTTGCTGCTGCGCGAGTTGTTTGTTTCGTGGTTGTAGTTGTTGTGGTTGTAGTCGTTGTGGTTGTCGCTACTGTTGTTGCTGCTGTGACTGTAGTGATTGTCGATTTTGTGGTTGAAGTAGTTGCTACTAACAATATTCATTGCACAATGCACACATGCTGGCTAGCTAGTTACATTGTATTTTAATAAATTAAGTAATGTAAAACCGTTTATTAGGTATAAAAAAAACAACAAATGGATTGTACTACAAATTTGCCAATTTTTTTTAAAATATTATTTAATAACAATTATATAACTAAAATAAAAATTCAAATAACTTTATTTTCTTTCAACCCCAACAAATAAAGACAAGTTTGACTTGACAAATCTCAATTACGGATTTCTAAACTATCCGACAAAGTCATACAATTTGGGATACCAACCCGACGTTGAAGATGTTCTCTCTACCGCATTTAATGTTCGTATTCGATTAGTCATTCAGCCGAGTATTATTCGTCCCATTACTGTTTATAACATTATTGCATTGTTCGTCCGTTGTCTTGCTAAGCTATTGAGTAATTTTAATTTATTTTTCAATATATATTATCATAGAAAATTATATTGTTATTGTTGTGATCATTATCATTTATTATTAATATCATCATCACATCATCATCACATCATCATCATCATCATCATCATCATCATCATCATCATCATCATCATCATCATTACTTCTGAAACAAGTGCAAAAGAGAGAGTGACCTTTAATCTTTCAACCTCTATCATCATCATCATCGTCATCATCAACACCACCATCATTATCAGGATTGGAGTACAGTAACAAATCTGAACTTTGCCAAAGCGAACTTGCAGTCCTCACAAATCAAGATTGGATTCTTCGAGGGCTACCACGGAGACAGCGTCAGTTTTGACGGCAAGCTATCTGGCGGAAGTGGTTCCCAATTGGCCCACGCTTTCCTGCCGAGAGATGGCAGGCTGCACTTCGATAACGCTGAATATTGGTCCAAAAACATTTTTGGAGGTTAATTGAAAAAAAATTCCGTTGGTTCACACATGACCTCGCACGAATGCTTAAACATTTAAACACATAAAGAGACATACACACACACAACACACACACACACACACATATACACACACACTCGTACGTAAACACACACACGTGCACGCACAGATACACGTTGTATATTTATATTTATACACGTATATGTTTATAAGGATAATCATATCTTAAAATAATTCCACCTATATTTTTTCTAACTATTTCACGAGGCAGGTCCGAGCTTGCGACAAGTGGCCACACACGAGATCGGCCACATAATCGGGCTGCAGCACAGTAGTGATTCATCAGCGGTCATGTACCCATACTACAAATATAAGATCTGCTTCAAACTACAGGCGGATGATATTAACGGGGTTAAATCACTGTACGGTGAGTGGAACCCTTCGACCAGGGCCTGATTTGGAAGGGTGGAGGCCCTGAGTCAAAAAAGTGGAAGCCCCTGTTTATTTTCATAGTTTTTGTTTAACGATATTAAAATCAGCGTTTTAATAAGCGTTTTTTCCGGAAAAAATACAAAAATATGTTTTGAGGCAAAACTTTACCATAACTTTTTCGTGGGGGCACTTTTTTGGTATAGCTTTGTTTGCACTACCTGATCGGCCCTGACTAAAATAATTTTTTATATTTCTCATTATATTTATTATATTTTTTATTTTTATATTTTATAAAATAATAAGTCATTTCGAATATATTATTGTAATTTTATTTCACGAACAAATAACGCAACAGTATTTTTGTCATAATTTTCTCATTTTTTAAAAATTGTTTCTTATTTCAACAGGAACTCGAATTCAACCCCCGCGCAGTTGGTGGGAACGTATTTGGGATGGAATAAAAAACATCTGCTGATCTACACACGCACACACGCACGCACGCACGCACACACGTAAATAACATTACAAATAATTATAACATTTACATGTGTAGTGTAGATGAAATAACATCTGTAGTCTTACAAAGACCAACTCATACTTTTATTTAGAAATTATAGTTTGAAATATGTGGACGGTAAAACAACATTTATTACTTTGATTTAAATCTAAAATCTGAAAAAAATATCAACTGAAATACATTTTAAGAAAACAAATCTAAATAGTAATCAATGTTTTGCTAGATTTTTGTTTAATTTGCTTAAATTAGCCAAATAAATAAACTAAATTATTTAAAGTATAATCATGGATATATATAATCATGAGTATAATCTTAAAAAATGACTTGGAAATTGGACATAATTTTGTAAATTTTGTATTTTATGGTTAATTAAATTTTTGTTTAAAGTAAATATTAGTCTTAAAGTTTTTTTGTGCAAAGTCCCATTCAATCATCGCCTATGATGTGAGAATTCCAAGTGCAGAAACAATGAGTCTCGCGGTGCATCTGTAATCATTCATTGTTCCAATGTTAAACATTCTCATGCTGTATTAGTCTTCACACAACATTTCTATGATGCATTATTATTTTTTTTCACACAAATGCGTTTTTGTGTGTGTATTAATATTTTATACAAATATACATATATTATATGTATGCACGTGCGTACGTATACAACCTTTAGGTTTAAACTTTTGTATGTTTTTCGGGTGGTAAGATGGTGTAGATAGCTAAGGTCCCCCGTTCTTGTGGGTGGGCTGTATTGTAATTAAAAAACAGTAAAACCTAATTTTCAGACATGAATGTATGTCATTTTTAGTTTTTAGACACGAATAGTTGTCATTATGAGCTACGCACTATAGTTCAATTATTTTTAGGCTAACTCAGTCCCTAGCTTACCTATTGCTTGTTAACACAGTTCATTTTACACTTTATATTTGTGATTTTTTTATATTACCAAAGAAGAAAAGATTAAGAAGATTAGACAAAGTAACGACAGTCTAGAAATAATAAGTAACGAATTCTAGAAATAATAAGTAACGACAGTCTAGAAATAATAAGTAACGAATTCTAGAAATAATAAATTACTTAACTAAACTTAACTAAAATAAGGAATATAATAATGTGTTGATTGCTGTTGTGTTGATTGTCGTGTTTGATTGCTGTTGTTGGTGTTGTGTTGAACAAATAACAAACAAAACAAAATACAATATAATAGAAATAAAATAGAACATAAGAAAGAAAGAATAGAGGCCTAACTTACCTATATTCACTAAATTAACTCACCTACCTATGTTCAATTAGCTCAACTTACGAATTAATCCTACCTATCTGTACAATTACGAAGAAAAAAGGAAAGAAAAAAGGAAAAACATCAAGCAAACAAAACAACGAATGTGTGTGTGTATGTATGTGTGTATGTATATATGTATGTGTGTTTGTATAACCGCGCAAAAATAATAAATGTAAAATAAACTAACAGTTCTAGAAATAATACGTAACAACGTCTAGAAATAATAAAATAAAATAAAAAAATGAGACAAGACGCTAAGGGAATGCCCTAAAGCGCCCGGTCTGATTTAAACGTGTTTTCGGCTCCTATTTATACCAGTTCCATTCATACATTCTTACCATTTCAATCATTGACATCAATAAAAAACTTTATTTAATGTATATGAAACATTATTATATGTGTTTAACAACAGTATATTAACTATCTTGAAATGAATTGAATACAACGAACGCCTACGGACTTCCTGATGGGATGGTTCGGTATAGTTCCAAATTATTCATATCAATAAAAGCTTATTTGATGTATAAAAATGACTATCTTACATATTTAACCACAATATTCTAACTATACTAGAAGGAAAAAGTTTAGAAAAACTTAAATTGATCATTGGTTGGTGTCTTAACTTCGAATTTGATTTCTCTCTTTCTTGTTAAGAGTTTGTTTTTGTTTGGTTTGCACACACACTCAATACGCACACTGTGAACAAAAATAAACATGGTTCTATGATATATTCAAGCATGCATTCTGACATAGCACGTCATTTTCATTGCGGGTTGGTCTTTTTTTTTGTT